GAACTACTTGACAGGGCTGACAGTGATAATAGTGACCTATCGGACTGAAGGTGGAACTACTTGACATGGCTGACATTGATAATAGTGACCTATCGGGGTGAAGGTGGAACTACTTGACATGGCTGACATTGATAATAGTGACCTATCGGGGTGAAGGTGGAACTACTTGACATGGCTAACATTGATAATAGTGACCTATCGGGGTGAAGGTGGAACTACCTGACATGGCTGACATTGATAATAGTGACCTATCGGGCTGAAGGTGGAACTACTTGACATGGCTGACATTGATAATAGTGACCTATCGGGGTGAAGGTGGAACTACTTGACATGGCTGACATTGATAATAGTGACCTATCGGGGTGAAGGTGGAACTACTTGACATGGCTAACATTGATAATAGTGACCTATCGGGGTGAAGGTGGAACTACCTGACATGGCTGACATTGATAATAGTGACCTATCGGGCTGAAGGTGGAACTACTTGACATGGCTGACATTGATAATAGTGACCTATCCGGCTGAAGGTGGAACTACTTGACATGGCTGACATTGATAATAGTGACCTATCAAGGTGAAGGTGGAACTACTTGACATGGCTGACATTGATAATAGTGACCTATCGGACTGAAGGTGGAACTACTTGACATGGCTGACATTGATAATAGTGACTTATTGAGGTGAAGGTGGAACTACTTTACATGGCTGACATTGATAATAGTGACCTATCGGGGTGAAGGTGGAACTACTTGACATGGCTGACATTGATAATAGTGACCTATCGGGCTGAAGGTGGAACTACTTGACATGGCTGACATTGATAATAGTGACCTATCGGGCTGAAGGTGGAACTACTTGACATGGCTGACATTGATAATAGTGACCTATCAGGCTGAAGGTGGAACTACTTGACATGGCTGACATTGATAATAGTGACCTATCGGGGTGAAGGTGGAACTACTTGACATGGCTGACATTGATAATAGTGACCTATCGGACTGTAGGTGGAACTACTTGACATGGCTGACATTGATAATAGTGACCTATCGGACTGAAGGTGGAACTACTTGACATGGCTGACATTGATAATAGTGACCTATCGGGGTGAAGGTGGAACTACTTGACATGGCTGACATTGATAATAGTGACCTATCGGGCTGAAGGTGGAACTACTTGACATGGCTGACAGTGATAATAGTGACCTATCGGGGTGAAGGTGGAACTACTTGACATGGCTGACATTGATAATAGTGACCTATCGGGGTGAAGGTGGAACTACTTGACATGGCTGACATTGATAATAGTGACCTATCGGGGTGAAGGCGGAACTATTTGACATGGCTGACATTGATAATAGTGACCTATCGGGCTGAAGGTGGAACTACTTGACATGGCTGACATTGATAATAGTGACCTATCGGGCTGAAGGTGGAACTACTTGACATGGCTGACATTGATAATAGTGACCTATCGGGCTGAAGGTGGAACTACTTGACAGGGCTGACATTGATAATAGTGACCTATCGGGCTGAAGGTGGAACTACTTGACATGGCTGACATTGATAATAGTGACCTATCGGGCTGAAGGTGGAACTACTTGACATGGCTGACATTGATAATAGTGACCTATCCGGCTGAAGGTGGAACTACTTGACATGGCTGACATTGATAATAGTGACCTATCGGGGTGAAGGTGGAACTACTTGACATGGCTGACATTGATAATAGTGACCTATCGGGCTGAAGGTGGAACTACTTGACATGGCTGACATTGATAATAGTGACCTATCAGGCTGAAGGTGGAACTACTTGACATGGCTGACATTGATAATAGTGACCTATTGGGCTGAAGGTGGAGCTACTTGACATGGCTGACATTGATAATAGTGACCTATCGGGCTGAAGGTGGAACTACTTGACATGGCTGACATTGATAATAGTGACCTATCGGGCTGAAGGTGGAACTACTTGACATGGCTGACATTGATAATAGTGACCTATCGGGGTGAAGGTGGAACTACTTGACATGGCTGACATTGATAATAGTGACCTATCGGGGTGAAGGTGGAACTACTTGACATGGCTGACATTGATAATAGTGACCTATCGGGCTGAAGGTGGAACTACTTGACATGGCTGACATTGATAATAGTGACCTATCGGGGTGAAGGTGGAACTACTTGACATGGCTGACATTGATAATAGTGACCTATCGGGGTGAAGGTGGAACTACTTGACATGGCTGACATTGATAATAGTGACCTATCGGGCTGAAGGTGGAACTACTTGACATGGCTGACATTGATAATAGTGACCTATCGGGGTGAAGGTGGAACTACTTGACATGGCTGACAGTGATAATAGTGACCTATCGGGCTGAAGGTGGAACTACTTGACATGGCTGACATTGATAATAGTGACCTATCGGGCTGAAGGTGGAACTACTTGACATGGCTGACATTGATAATAGTGACCTATCGGGGTGAAGGTGGAACTACTTGACATGGCTGACATTGATAATAGTGACCTATCGGGCTGAAGGTGGAACTACTTGACATGGCTGACATTGATAATAGTGACCTATCGGGGTGAAGGCGGAACTACTTGACATGGCTGACATTGATAATAGTGACCTATTGGGCTGAAAGTGGAACTACTTGACATGGCTGACATTGATAATAGTGACCTATTGGACTGAAAGTGGAACTACTTGACATGGCTGACATTGATAATAGTGACCTATTGGGCTGAAGGTGGAACTACTTGTCAGGGCTGACATTGATAATAGTGACCTATCGGGCTGAAGGTGGAACTACTTGACATGGCTGACATTGATAATAGTGACCTATCGGGCTGAAGGTGGAACTACTTGACATGGCTGACATTGATAATAGTGACCTATCAGGCTGAAGGTGGAACTACTTGACATGGCTGACATTGATAATAGTGACCTATCGGGGTGAAGGCGGAACTATTTGACATGGCTGACATTGATAATAGTGACCTATCGGGCTGAAGGTGGAACTACTTGACATGGCTGACATTGATAATAGTGACCTATCGGGCTGAAGGTGGAACTACCTGACATGGCTGACATTGATAATAGTGACCTATCGGGGTGAAGGTGGAACTACTTGACATGGCTGACATTGATAATAGTGACCTATCGGGCTGAAGGTGGAACTACTTGACATGGCTGACCTTGATAATAGTGACCTATCGGGCTGAAGGTGGAACTACTTGACATGGCTGACATTGATAATAGTGACCTATCGGGCTGAAGGTGGAACTACTTGACATGGCTGACATTGATAATAGTGACCTATCGGGCTGAAGGTGGAACTACTTGACATGGCTGACATTGATAATAGTGACCTATCGGGCTGAAGGTGGAACTACTTGACATGGCTGACATTGATAATAGTGACCCATTGGGGTGAAGGTGGAACTACTTGACATGGCTGACATTGATAATAGTGACCTATCGGGCTGAAGGTGGAACTACTTGACATGGCTGACATTGATAATAGTGACCCATTGGGGTGAAGGTGGAACTACTTGACATGGCTGACATTGATAATAGTGACCTATCGGGCTGAAGGTGGAACTACTTGACATGGCTGACATTGATAATAGTGACCAATCGAAATGAAGGTAGAACTACTTGACATGGCTGACAAATTCAGTTTTGTGCAGTTAAATCTACAGGCTACTTAGTTCTACATTGGAAACACGTACAGTATGTTTATCTCCATTCTACCATAACAAAATTAAATGCAAACTTTATGGCGATGTTAAGATATTGAGTGAAGTGGCATGGGTTGATTTCAATGTTTTGCATGGGTTTCCAATCTGAATAAGGGAACACTGATACATTTCTATCAACAAGGTATGGAGCTGTATTTGTTCAAAGTTTATTCATGTATATTTCAGGCAGTGAAATGTGCAGCATAGCTATTTCGTAAGCTAACATAAAGTTGGTGATCCTTGAGAAAACGAAGCAAGCCTTGCAGGGTTTAGTTCTACACTGCATGTCATTAAGATGTCACATCGCTTACTGAGTCGCAAAGGATATGATGTGACAGCTGGTTGTAGAAAGGTGCCACACTATTATTCATGTTAGCCTATCACTTTAAAACGAATGTTAAACCCATGCATCTTTAGGCCTTCATCCAAACACCTACAGCACTTTTCATGTTGGTTACGTCTATGTTTTAAATGCAAATTTGTATTTGTTTAATCCCTTCTATGCATTATGTTTTGTGTAACATGAGTGATGCTCTGATGTAAAAAGAATTCTCTCACAGGCACCAAAGTATTATCTTATATCAATTTCTAGCTCATTGCTGTCCTGAAATCTTGAAATACACACTCTCTGTTTACTGCCCAACATCTATCTCTGAACATGGTACGAACCACAACTCTGCATTTTGTAACCATTACTGTACATTTAATAACCTTAAAATGCCCTACCGACAATCACTGACAGAGAAGTACATCTAAAAATATATTAGCTTCCACTATGATGCTGCCATCAAATAGGCTTTGGTTATAGCGATTTGATACATCTGATGTGACCAATCAAAATCAAGTAATTTCCAAACTCATGGTAGAATTGGCCTTGTACTTAATTTGTTCAAAAGTCATTAATAGTTTTCATAATTATCATTTGGAAAAGTTTAAGATGTTTTGAATAGTCACTGTCATGTGTCCACTGCCGGATCTAATTAAATGCAATCTCAATCCGAAATCAGTCCCAAACCAATAGAAATTACTGTCATCTCAACCTCAGCCTTCTAATACTGACAAAAGCTGCTTAAATGATAGGCTGTGTAATTTCACAGTTGGTCCAAATCCATCCTCAGAAACCAGATCATATAAAGTTATTCTCCTGTAACCAAGATGACATAGTGAGACAGACAACAGATACAGCAGGGGTGTAAATGATATAACCAAAGCGGCTGAAACTCTATAATACGAGGGTGGCACGGAAAGGATACGCTGATAAGACTGAATTTTTACACAGGAAAAACGCAGGGAGGTTGTACTTCTCAAACATCAATTCTGTCAATTTTTCTCGCTTTGCCTTGCTGTTCCACTGAAATGAAATACTACAATCAGTCATTAACCGAAACATGCAAAATGACAAAAAGCATTATAAACCAGGTTATATAATCTTAAATACCACTTGTCTTCATGCCTTGTAAATAGAGTTACAGTACTGCTTTCATAACCTTGTCAAAATACCATAACATGTTTTCATAGCTTGTCATCTTGGGAGGAATCAGCCTGATTAACTGAGACCTGAAGATCACAAAGGACAGAAACTTGAGTCTGTACTTGTATCACAAGGGAAAACAGAGAAAACCAATGATAAATGGTCACCAAAAGAGTCATTGCAATGACTTAAGTTTCAGTGAACATACATGATCACTTGTCTGAAAATAAGATGCAGATATTAACTTCTTCACACCTGTGCAGTTACAGGTGTGATTCCTGACACCAGCTTCTGGCACTGATGGGACTATGGTTATTATGTCAACTGCTTACCGCTGGCTCAGACATCATCACTGGATGGTAGTGGGACTCGGTCTTTATGTGTTTTGTATAGGCGTAGTCAACAACTTTTTCAAAAACGTCCCAATTATCAACTGAAAACAAATATGAAAACATCAAATCACAAGGCTCTGGAAAACAAAGAATTATCATGACAATAGTTCAATACTAGTAAAATCCTAGATATTTTTACATTTTATATTTGTATACTTATCCTGCATTACTCCTTAATGCATATTACTGCTTGTTCTTGACAGAGAAAAGAGCTGTGTGAGGGTCTTTGCTTGAAGAAGTTGCTCCAACTAGCTGAGAGGCCAACCCATCACGCAGCTCCCACGTGACAATAAGTGACGTCACATATCCTTACATTACTCTGTAGTCCGAAACATCGGAAGGCATCGTGGGGAGGTAGATCTGCGATGGGTGGGTCCCTTTAGACGCAGTAATACAGGATAAGTATACAAATATAAAAAATATCTAGGATTTTACTAGATTTTTTACTTATCCGGCATTACTCCTTAATGCATCTTTATCGGACGGAACCGGAGGTGGGCATACCTTCAGATGTGGATTTTCAGCTGTTATTTCCAGACTCTGTTCCCTAGCCAATCCTTGGCTGTGTGGTCGGCATCAGGTGACCACTCCATGTGTGGGAAGCTCCAATTCCCTCAACCCGTCCTCGGCTGTGTGGTCGGCATCAGGTGACCACTCCATGTATAGGAAACTCCGTCTCCTTCAGCCCGTCTTCGGCTGTATGGTGGGCCTGGATGACCATTACATGGAAGGGAAGAGTCAGGTGTGCATTGTGTCCTGGTACTGCGCAGCCTGACAATAACGCTCGATTAGGTCCAGACTGGAGCACCGAGCCAGATGCAAATGAGGCATGAACCTTCTAGTCCAGGGCTTACGCCAGGGGAGGTCGAAAGGCCGTCTCTGGACTTGGAGGCGTAGTTAATGACATGTAGTAGTGGTGACCTGCTGGGCCACTACTAACGGACCAAAGCTGTGCGTGCCTTGCACATCCTCCAATGCAACGTCTTGCAGGTAGTGACTGGCGAAGACCGTGTTTGATCACCAGAAACATCCCTCCATGATGGCGCGTAGAGAGCAGTTGCTGTGTAGTGCCATGGTGGAGGCGACCGCCCGGATCTCATGCAGGTTGTTGGAGCGTGGGGGGTCCAATCCCGCTGCCTCGTAGCCAGAAGGCGATCGTGTTGCGGCTGACTTCCGCTCACGAGGTCGCAGATACCAATATGAAGAGGCGTTGTCGTTGTCTACAGCGTTCCTTGGATCGCCGGATGTAGCAACCAAGTGCTCTAACCGGACATAAACGGAAGTCTAGTTAGTCATCCGCGCCACAATCGATGACGGGGGGGTGAGGAATGATCTATCGGGCTGGCCTGGGAGCTGATTCTTTGCAATGAAGTCCCAGCACAAGCCCAGATGCACGGCTCCTGCTCAGAACGGCCCCGTGTGACGTCTAGGGCATGTAGCTCACTGACACGGGCTGCTGTAGCGAGCGCCAGTAGGAAGACCGTCTTTTTCGTCAGATTGTAGAATGACTAGGTTTCGAGTGTCTCGAAAGCGCGTCTCTCAGCGAGATGAGAATGACGTTCAAGTCCCAGGCCGGGGGACGGAACTTCGCCTTTTGGTCTTCCAGTCTGAATGAGGGGAGCAGTGCCTGGAGTTCCAGGATTTTCGTCATGCGTCGATCTTTTGGTAACTGCCAGGACGGAGTTGAGCGCCACAAGGTAGGTCATGATGGTACTGTCCTTGAGCTTACGCTTGTGTCGCAGATGGAGCATGAACTCTGCCAAGAATTGAGGCGATGCAGATGTGGGGTCTTGGTGCTTACTGCTGCAAAAGCTCTCAAAGGATTGCCACTTGTCATCATAGAAGCTCCTGGTGGTTGGGCGATGTGCCATCGTGATGGCCCTAGCCGGTCTGTCCTAGTAGCCCTCGGCGTTCAATGCTCTCTGTAAATGGACCAGACGTAACCTGTCTGGTCCTGGGTGTGGCTGTCTGCTGTGAGGGTGGATCAGCAGATTTGGCCAATCTGGGAGTGGCAGGGGGTTGACGTAGGACAGCTCTCTGAGGTCGACAAACCAAGCCCTCGCTGGCCACCAGGGCGCGACCAAAGTCAGATCGAGGTTCTGTACATTGAGTGGATCAGACAATTTGTGAAGGCCCTAGGGATCCTCATGCACACATCCAGAGCAGCTGTGCATAGTTCATCGGCAGTTGTAGGGACTGGGTGCACATTGTGCAGACGCCTTTGAACCTCATCCCACAAGTGTTCGATGGGGTTCAGATCAGGGCTGAGGGCTGGCCACGGATGTTGTGTTGTTGCAGAAAGGCCGTGGTAGCTCTGGCAACATGGGGAAGAGCGTTGTCCTGCTGGAAAATGTGTTGTTGATGTTGTGCAAAAAATGGAACAACGTTGGGGCTGATCACTTGGTCGATAAACGGCTAAGCAGTGACGCCGCCTCCCTGACCTTGACCAACATTCAGAAAGCACATGGGTCCAAGTCTCGCGTTAAGTACAATCCCAGCCCATATCATGACACTAGGTCCACCCAATGGATCCCTTTCCACAACGTTTCTGTCAGCGAAACTATCACTTGACGCCGCCAAATTCTGCCACAGTTTTATACCGACTACAGTTCGTGACAGTTCATGCATTTTCGATTTTGCGAGAAATGGGTGCATGATACCCACATATTCATTGAAATGGTGCCTTTTGGCGATTCCTCTTTTATGTTGCGTTTTTACTCGGGGCTTCCAAAATGCAACCAAAAATATTGATAACACCATCCGGCTTCACTACATGCTAAAACTTGTATCAATTTATGGTTCTGGTATTTGTCCACTATGGGTGACGACGTCAGTGGTGGGTCGTCTATAAGCGTTAGTTTGTACCCGTGTCTGATGATGTTGGCGACGTATGGGTCCCCCAGGATCTCCCAGTTCTGCCAGAAGTGAGTCAATCTCCCACCTACTGAGGTGTCGACAACTTTGACGGCTGGGGGTGGGAGGTCCCAGTCGTGCCTGTCCAGCGGTTCACTGGAGGTCCCTGCGGTCAGCCTTACCCCCTTGGGGTAGCAGCGACAGGACTGGTATGTGCCTGAGGACTTTCCTTTCCCCTTGCCTCTGCCTTGAGAGGTTGAGGTGGAGCCCCGCCCCCGAGTCCGGAAGGTGTTGCTTCGTAGCTGGTAGGAGCCCGACTGGGACTCATTAGCAAAGACTGGCCGTGACACCCAGGCCAGGGCCTTGAGAGCCGTCTCATCATGGGCGAAGGCTGAGACCCAGGAGTGTTTCTTAGATATCTGTCCATTAAAAAGGTCAGAGCCGGACCAAGGTTGACGCAAAAGGTCTCTCTTGAACTCTGGGTCCCAACTCGACAAGGCAAGGTACCCCAGGCGTCTAGTGGTAGTGAGTTCGATCAGAGCGTCGCACATGTGGGAGCGCATCTGTTCAAATTGATGTTGGAGGTAGGATACCACGGTAGTTAGATGGTCAATCCTATGGGGGTTGTCCTCCGACAAGTCCTGCAGTATAGCCCTGGAGGACGACGCCATCAGTGAGAGAGGTTTGAGCGTATGGCGAATCTCGGTCTCCACGTAGGCGAGTTTGCTGTCGGAGACTCGGACTGAGGTGGAGCGATTCGATCCCGTCATGCGGTGCATGTCCTCATCTAAGGAGTGAGCATGGTCCGCAACTTGAAGAGAGTGGACTGGGAAGTCATCTCGTCTATAACGTGGGGCCCTGAAGGACGGAGTCAGTGACAGCTCCTTATCCAGAGCTGAGATCATGTCTCTGATCAGTGGGTCAGGAGGGATCGAGGTGGGGTCCGCACTGATGGCCATCTTGCTATTGACCTCTAGGCCAGGCGAGGGAGCGATAGCCTCCAATCTGTCTGCCAGCCAGTCTGCGACTTGGTCAAAACCCAGGTGGGATTCGCCGTCCATAGGGGTGTCATCATAGCAAGGGATGAAGGCGCCCTCCGAGGAGTCGGATCGATAACCCCTGGAGCTTCTGCTAATCGGGGAGCGGCTCCTAGATCTAAGACCCTGACTTGAAATAGAAGGCACCTGTGAGGTTGGCCGGTGCAGCGGAGGCAAAGGCGCGGGTGTCTGTAAGGGCGCTGTGCAGATAGGTGCCATCTGAAAGGACGCTTGAGAAGGCGTCTGCAGAGGGGCTATGGGAGGCGTCTGTAAAGGCGCTGGCGTCGACGGCTGTCTGGCCTGTAAGTACTGAATATACTGGAGGACATCATGGGTGTCAGTGCCATAGGCAGGGGCGCCTGTGGGAGACCGAGCGTCTGTCCAAAGGATAGTAAAGGCGCCGTCTGGTACGCGAGGGCCACGCCGGGCAACACGGGGGTCACCGCCGTAAAGATAGACGCTGTTGTGGTTGTCAAAGTGCTCTGGGTAGAGACTACAACCGTGGGGTCCAACATCAAGGTAGCAATTGAGGTCGGGGGATGGTCATCCGAGATGGCCGATCTAGAAGGTGAAACCTCAGTGTAGTCTGACATCGTGTGCCGGTGTTTCCTGGCCTGCTGTGTTCTGGGTTTTTTACACACACAGAGGTACTGTCTGAAAGCTGTGGGTGAAAGCAGTAAACAGTCTTTACATCGGTGACCCTTGAGGCATTGGATGTACAATTAAGGCACAGGGGGTGGGGATCCCACGACGACATATTACGCCGGCACTTTGAGCAGGAGGGGAATGCTATTTGCAACGAAGCAGTGTAAAATCACAATGCGTCCCCGCCCGATTATGTATGCTATATTTTGTTTATCCCACTGTGGGTTTATGAAACAAATATTACGACAAAACAAAACAAACAATACCTGCCAGGATACGCCAATCGTGGAGTACCAAGCAAAAGAATATAGAAGGCAAACCAGTTCCCTTACTGCTGACAACGCAAAATATTCAAGATGGCTACTTGGAGCAACAAGACGCCTGGCCTTATGTTTTCTTTTGAGAAAACGCCAGTAAGTGTTTAATAAAGTTATGCCCATGTTTATCAAACATAGAATTACAAAATACAAACCGTAGGCACAACACAAAGACAAAAAACATTAACTCAGATAGCAAACACGTGAGGGTTTGAATCAGTTTTATGTTAAGGCAAAGAAAAACAGGTCTTCTCTCATAAAGTGACAAGAGTAATGTGAGGATCCATGACGTCACTTCCTTTGGTCACGTGGGAGCTGCATGATGGGCTGGCCTCTCAGATAGTTGGAGCAACTTCTTCAAGCAAAAACCCTCACACAGCTCTTTTCTCTGTCAAGAACAAGCAGTAATATGCATTAAGGAGAAATGCAGGATAAGACAAAAAATTTGAAATAAGACTAAAAAAAGTTCATGCCAACATTAGACACCATTTGCAGGATCATCCATGCCAAAATTTCAGTTCCATGTCATTGAGTTCTAGTCAAGTGGTTTCCAAGATGTATACAAACACTGACCATGGTGACCATGCGAGTTATGAAGGCCAGGTGACTACAATAGTTCCCCACTGTGACTACAACAGGCCATCCATCTTTCCCCGGCTAGGGAATGAAGATAAATCCCTGGCATGACATAGGCAAATGCAGAGGGGGTTGTCCCCTGCCTGGCGCTCGGCACTGAGGGGCTAAAACAAGGACTGGTCAGCTTGGAGTCAGTATACTGTGTTTGAGTGGGGTTTTCATGCTAAACTGTGGCATGGTATCTCAGTGAGCTAGCACTATAAAAATTGACATTAGTCCGAACTAGTACACGCAGCCACACACACATGCATGCACCTTGCTAAAGAAGCACAAAAGTCTTGGACACAACGTTAAACCTCATTTCACCTCACCTCATTATGTGATGCCTTTGTACCATTATCTAGTATGTATTCTCCTCTTATCATGCTTATCACTAATTTGTTTGATTATTAGCTGTTCTTGTAAGAGAAGGGGATAATAGATGCACAGTGCTATTGTTTAAGCAACATAAAATAAATGTCCTCCTAAAGTGTGATTGAGAGTTCAAATACAATTAACAACACATTTCCAGGTCACAGAATATAGGGTGACGTCAGTCATTAAATTAAGAACATAGATTTTCTCTCACTGACAAATCAGTTTTCCCATGAATTGTCCTGAGATACTTACTCATTCCATCTTTCAGGAAGCTGACCATGTCCATGCCCTTGCGGGCCACCTTAAGGTTGACTGTGTCTATGTAATGTTTCTTATCAGCAATGCTGGGCTTGGAATCTTCTGTCTCCATTGAAGCCACAGCCTCCACTTCCTCAATGAGGCCAACATGGCTCGGGATCTCCGCCTGGTCAAACACAAATTGATTGACTGTCACTTAAATTATTTCACATTATATTTGTGAATAACTCACCATAACTTATTCCACATCATCAGAGATTTATCTAGGACTCAGGCAGACAAATTGCAAAAATACCATAATATTGTTCAAAATTGGGATTTTCCTTATTTTCTCATCTTCTGAGGCAAGGGAGTTAACTGACTGTAAAAGTCCAGTTTCCACCCATGCCAAACTAGGCTGGAATGTCACTGCTCAGTCATAGTGTCAACAGTGGCTATTATGAGTTATGTCCCTTTTATGTCCCATCTATTGACCAATCAGATTACACCTCTCGCATTTCTGACAAACAAAATGATGGCACCCAGTCAAGATGATCTGACAAATAATCCAGATCTATATTGTCATAATATGTGTCTTACCTCCGGCTCGCAAAGTGCATCAAATCACTTGAGCACTTCGATAAAAAGCATGAAAAGAATTGGAAAACATTTGTCTTCACCCAGTTGTCTGTACACGTGTTCTGCAAATTTTGCAAGCAACCAAAATCTGCACAGCAGGCACCATGTTGTTTATGAACTGGATGTTGAAATTGTCACACAATTTTGATTGGACAATGCATGGACTCGTTAGTGCAGCCAAAATATAACTTCAAAATACCAGGTAGGTTCGGCAAGGGTGGAAACTGACTTTAAATTCAATAGTCTGTTAACTCCCTTGCCTCAGAAACAAGTTGTTTTCTTAGTTCAAGGATATTTTTTAAATTTCATTCAAAGCAAAAATGTAAAACTAAACGTTAAACCCTCTTCCTTTTCACCATGTTTATTGGTCCTGTCATCAGTGAAATACCAGTCACCTCTGCATACAATACTATTAGTTATTACTATAATAATACGACTAGGGAAATATTTAATTCCAATTTGGGAATTTGTACTAACGTTTTCGTCAGACTTGGGGTCGACGATCAGCCTCTGAGCAGGTCTTGGTAAGTCCCTGATCACATAAACAAGGTCTGCACCATTTGGATGATTATAAGAATATATGTTGAAAAAGTGAGGGAGTTGGTGGGTGTAACGCCGCTTTTAATAGTATTCCAGTCATATCACGGCGTGTCAGCTTAATGTGGGAGGAAAGACCAAAGTGATGCAGGTCTCAAAATGGGTGTGCGTGCACAATATACCCAAGCAGTCGGTTTACCATGTAAGGTGTCTGAAACACAGGGGCAAGTGCACTCTGCAACCCCTATCTCAATCTGCCAGTGGAGTGAATGAGTGAGTTGGGCTTTATGCCTCTTTCTGCAATATTTCAGCAATACCACAGTGGGGTATAATGTTCTTGAATGATCCTTGCTCTGTTGATAAATGATATGATCCTTGAAGGAGTGAAACGAAGACTTTTATTTGTCATCAGTGCAATGAATACAGGGCGCCGCCATTGATACTGGCTCGCACATGGTCAATCCCAAAACGAGACCCTGACCTCTGACCCATACATATGCATCAGGGGTCCGGAAACCGTCATATGCGCCGGACATGTCCGATTGGGAATCTCAAATGTCCGTTTTAAAATATTGCTTACAGGACATTTTAAAAAGTATTGTCCGGACATTCTTAAATTTTGACCGGACATGATCAACAGTTAGGACTGAGCAGTTTCTGTCTGCAGTTGCAACACAATGAAGATTAACTACACTGACAAGCTTTTGATTGCTGTAAATACATCGTACCTACATGATAGTCCAATCGGTCATTCACTGTAATAGACAATAAACTGAGTTGACACTGATTAATCGAGGATTAATTACAGAGAACATCTTGTTAATTTGAGTGAAAGGTGTTTACAACTGTACATTAATACCTTGCATCATCGATGTACCTCATTATCCTCACAATGCTACGATACGTAACCTCAGACAAGAAGCGAAAGTGTGACGACAGCCAGTCGACCGATGCAGATCAGTCGAGCGGATCTGCCAAACCCTCAAAGTCAGGACGATCATTTTGTAAGTCGTGGCTAACGACTTTCACTTGGTTGACATACAATGAGGATTTGCAGATTTTATTGTTTTCAGTAGCTAGTCGTATATTGAATCTTGATTGACTGCCAATTTGCTTTCTCGGACGATCGATATCCAATTTTTTTTATGGTCAATAAATAAGTACAGATGAAAAAAGTATTCAAATAACTATTGCTATCAACGACATTTTAGTATTTGTGATTAAATTATCTGTCTTGTTTTTAAAAAAATCTTTAGTTTAAAAAAAGAAATTTCCTGTGAGGTCACGTGATAACCATATATGGGATAATAGTCTCGATCCAAATGTTACAACGCGTACACTTGAGCAGACTCATGAATATAACTCATGAATATTAATTAGACCGTTCACTACGTTAACAGATCGTTATTATAACAGAAATAAACGTATGTTTTCCATGTAAATCTAAAATGATATTATTTGTTATTAATTGTCCGGTGAATTAAACAATTTAAATTGAAACAATTCACAACTAGAAAGTGTTTTTACTCGTAAAAACATATGTCTCCCCCCACTCCCCTAACCCCCATTCATTTGTTTACTTCACGTTAAACCCCATCTGTTCATTCCCACAAAAATAATTCACAATATTTTAATTCTAGAATTGCTTTGAATTCAATAATATTGAAAAGATCAAATTCTTAAATTTCATTATAAGCAAAAGACACTGGAACAACAAAGCCCATCCCAATACAGAGTCTAAGTTTAACTTGTCTCCATCAACAAGAAAAAATAAAATGTGAAAAACTTCTAAATAGCAAGAAGCACCACTTCAGGACTTGGTTAATATGTTACAACTTCATGAAATAATATTGAACAGTTTTTGAGTTATGGTCCGGAAACAAAGCTTACCCCCATTCAGAGTCTATGTTCAAGATATCTCCATGGAAACGAGAAAAAATAAAAATGTCAAAAATCTCTAAATAGCAAAAGGCACCACTTCAGTGCTGGGTTAATGTGTATACAAAGTTTCGCGAAAAAATATTAAACGGTTTCTGAGTTATGGTCAGGAAACAAAGCTTACCCCCATTCAGGGCCTATGTTCAAGTTATCTCCATGGAAACGAGAAAAAATAAAAATGTCAAAAATCTCTAAATAGCAAAAGGCACCACTTCAGTGCTGGGTTAATGTGTATACAAAGTTTCGCGAAAAAATATTAAACGGTTTCCGAGTTATGGTCCGGAAAACAAGCTTACCCCCATTCAGAGTCTATGTTCAAGTTATCTCCATGGAAACGAGAAAAAATAAAAATGTCAAAAATCTCTAAATAGCAAAAGGCACCACTTCAGTGCTGGGTTAATGTGTATACAAAGGTTCGCGAAAAAATATCAAACGGTTTCTGAGTTATGGTCCGGAAACCAAGCTTACCCCCATTCAGAGTCTATGTTCAAGTTATCTCCATGGAAACGAGAAAAAATAAAAATGTCAAAAATCTCTAAATAGCAAAAGGCACCACTTCAGTGCTGGGTTAATGTGTATACAAAGGTTCGCGAAAAAATATCAAACGGTTTCTGAGTTATGGTCCGGAAACGGTGGGAACGCCGACGCCAACGCCAACGCCAACGCCAACGCCAACGCCGACGGGAACCGTGCCAAAAACAATATGTCTCCCTCCATTCTGGGGGAGACATAATTCATCATATTATGAATACGTAAACTTGTAATGTGTGTGAAAAGTCGTACTAAAATACGCTATTTGAAGGGGGCGTGGCCTAAATGCAAATGTCCGATTGGGATTTTAAATTTTCCGGACCCCTGATATGCATACAATTATAAACCTTGATTGCATATACACTACAATCCTCCTTTACTTAACATTAAAAAGTAGGGCCACACACAACTGATAAGTAATAATCTAAAGATATAAAAAAACTTACTTGTTAAGCCAGATATCCTGATTGCCTAGAAGAATATTATCTTGAAAACAATCCTATCAGATTATATAAATCACAATATTAACTTAAACTTCTTAAATGATGAACAACCTCAAAAAACTTCCTTAACACTGACATAAATCATTACTTTGCTGAATATTAAGATGATAGGGATACTTTCTTGAACAAACATTAAATCTTCTGTAAGAAATTGAAGAATATACAAATGTATTCTATCTGCATACTAATCAATAAAAGAACTAGACCACTTTTACATGAACTAACCAGTGGAATTATAAATCAACTGTTGTCAACCTTTATGTTCAACCTTTATGCTCCGGATAGAACATATCTTTGATGATCATAATATGTTCAAAAACACTTTCTAAAAGTTCTGATATAGAGATCACACTTCATGTGTACATTTGTGATTTTACATCACTAATGTTTCCGGATATAATGTATCATTTTGTAGTCCAGGAATCGAACTGGCAAAGTGATGGATCTGGTAGAACGTCTGTTTGGTAGTTTCAGGATGGAAGTAGGCGAAATATGTTCTCTTTGAACTTCATCTGATGTTTCACCTGACTGATTTGAATTATCAATTTGAGAGTCACCGTCACCATTATCCATACTATCTGCAGATCTTGCCATCTCCTCTTGTTCATAGTTAGACAGTTCTTTTAACTCAATACTGATTGGTTTGAAATGTGAGGAGTTTCGGGTTATCTTTTGTGCACTACCTACACGCTTTGCAGTTCTAATCCGTGATCACATACGGATGAACATCGAATGCAGGTGTCAGCTTGTTCTACCTCGGTTGGCGTCCAAGTACTGAGTCACCAACACTTAAACTGGATTCCTTAAGTCGATGATGTTGATTTGCGTACAGTCTCATCTTCTCCTTGTTGCTGATGTCGTCCAGTCTTATTTGAATCTCATTCTTGATCTTTGGTTGTAGATTGTGAGTATTCACCTGTGGTAATTGAGTATTCATAGATCTTCCTGTAAGTGCTTCAAATGGGCTTACATTGGTGGTTGAATGTGGAGTTGCCCTATAACTGCGAAGGAATTTGAAAATTTCCTGCTTCCAATAGAGTCCTTCTGCACCTGAAGCTTGTGTACACTTTTTGAAATTGCGCATGAAGCGTTCTGCTTCTCTGTTAGCTTCTGGTCATAGGGGGGTGATTTTGCGATGCTGAAATCCAAGGTAATTTGCGAACTGTGTAAACTCCTTACTGTTGAATGGTGGACCATTGTCTGATTTCACAATTCGAAGTATTCCTTGCCGCGAGAATATGGCATCAAGCTTTGGACAAACAGATTTTGCTGATGTTGATCGAACAAATTCCACTTCTGGATATCGACTATAATCATCTACAACCACTAGCAAGTATTCTCCAGATGGATAAGGTCCTGAGAAGTCAATCGACACATTTTCCCATGGAGATGATGGAAGAATTGTCATTTTGAGTGGTTCTCTGTGAACAGGAGTGTCAATAGTTGACTGACATGCGATGCAGCGCTTGATCTTGTCTTCAACTAGATGATCTATACCAGGAAACCAAACCTTTTCACGTAGGAGCCTCTTGGTCTTTACTATTCCTTCATGTCCCTTATGCGCAAGATCAACTGCCTGATGCTGTAGAATTTGGGGGATCACAATCCTGTGGTCTCTTAAGACTGTTCCTTGTATACAGCATATTCGTCCTTGAATCGTACAAATGGTTCAAGTTCAGGATCCAACCAGTTTTCTGTTTCGACTGCAATGATCACCTTTTGGAGTACTGGATCCAGCTTTGTAGCTGCTTGAATTTCCTGGAACTTGAGAGCCTTGGGTACTGCGTTCATGGTAACGTAGTTTACATAGTCTTCTGCTATGTTAGCTAATGATGAAACCTGGGGTGGATGACGACTTATGTAATCTGCTGGGTTGTTTTTGTCACGAACCGTTTGGTAGGCAAGTTCATACTTGTATGGCATCAGTCGGATGCGCCACCTCTCTATTCTGGCTGAAGTTGGTTTTCGGCTTTTAAAGATTCTGAGAAGCGGTTTGTGGTCTGTGATTATCTGGAACTTCTTCCCGAATGTATACAGGTGAAAGTGTTCAGCTGCCCATATGACTGCCAACGTTCCGTTTGGGAATAACGGGACTCAACATCAGATAATGCACGGCTGGCATAGCTAACAACTTGATTGTCCTGAGTGAGAATTGCACCTAAGCCTGATGGGCTAGCATCTACAAACAGCTTTACCTCCTTCTGGGGTCAAAGTAGCACATCACTTCACTGCTACTAGGAGCGGACTTGAGTTTGGGAGAAGCATTCTGCTCCTTTTCATCCCATTTCCAAATGGCTTGCTGATGTGTAAGCTTCCGGAGAGGTTCCGTGATTTGGGCGTATTTCGGAATGAATCGAGACATGTATTGGGACATGCCAAGTAGAGATTTCACTTCACTTGCCGAATTTGGAGGTTTAGCCTCTACAATTGTTTTAACTTTCTCCGGATCTGGAGCATGCCCTTTACTTGTAAAGATATGTCCATAGAATTTGATCTGAGATTTTGAGTACTCACATTTAGACTTGTTTAGGGTGATGCCATGTTCACGTAGTCTTGTGAATACAGCACAAAGAGTTTGATCATGCTTCTGCTGAGTAGCACCATGAACGATAATGTCATCTTGGATGTTTCCACATCCGGGAATCCCTTGAATAACTTCTGAAATGACATTCTGGAATATCTCTGAAGCAGAATTTATCCCAAAGGAGAGGCGTTTGTATCGTCGGAGTCCTGCATGGGTGCTAAATGTGGCCAGATAGCGACTTTCTGAGCTCAACTCCAACTGATGGAATCCTGCATTCAAGTCTAGCTTGGAGAAGACTGTCGATCCATTTAATTCTGAGATGAGGTCATCAATAGTTGGTGAAATTTGATTTTCACGTCGAATACACTTGTTGACCTCACCCATGTCAACGCATACGCGGATGCCTGATGACTTCTTAGGTACTGCAATGATTGGACTGACCCATGGAGTGGGCTCATTCGGTACTGGCTCCATGATGTCCAGATCTTCTAATCTTTTCAGTTCTTCTTCCACGTCCTTCCGTATGTGGAATGGGATTCCCTGTGTGGTTGCCGGACTGGTTGTACTGATTTGTCAACATGTAGTTTTATCTGTTTGTTCCTGATTTTGCCAATTCCATTGAACAGTTCTGGAAAATCACAAATAATGCCTTCCACCTCAGATGATTTCACATTTCTGGCAATATGAATGATACCCAAAGATTTACCAGATTGATAACTCAAAATCGACCTGATACCACATAAAATTCACAGTCCTGTTTTATGTTTCCATACTGCACAGGTAGAATGGTCTTTCCAACCACATACAGTGGGTCTTGTGATCCATATGCGAAAAAATGTCTCTTAGGGTCTCTAAGATTTCCAATTATGTGCTCTTCCTGTCTGAGGGCATCATATGTTGCTTGGTCAAGCATGTTTTCAGCTGCGCCAGAGTCTATCACACATGGGACAAATTTTCCAGCAATGTTCAGTGCCCGGACTGGAATTTTGTTGTTTCCATTGTCCATTGTCATGTTGACTGAATCCTTACGGGGCGGTCGGGTAGCCTAGTGGTTAAAGCGTTGGCTCGTCACGCCGAAGACCCGGGTTCGATTCCCGACATGGGTACAATGTGTGAAGCCCATTTCTGGTGTCCCCCGCCGTGATATTGCTGGAATACTGCTAAAAGCGGCGTAAAACCATACTCACTCACTCACTGAATCCTTACATTGGATGGAATAAACATATTCTTCATCAGTGTCAGAGTCATGATGGTATTGATTGTCAGAGCTTGTGTGTACAATGTTTATTCTTTCCTTGTTTGTGTGAGAATGTTGCTCATTGTCTCTATTCTTAGAGTGACACATTTTTTCGAAGTGATTTAAAATGCCACAATAGTTGCACTTCTTATCCTTGGCAGGACACTTTCCAACATGGGGATACAAACCTCCTCAGAAATAACAAGTTCGGTTTGACCCACTTAATTGTCTGGCTCTTGATCGTCCGTATCTTGACCTAGATTCTCCTTGCTGCTAGCGGGATCGAATTTTATCCTTCCTATTTCGGCGAGACTGTGATCGAGATTGTCTGTGTGCGGAATGATTATTCTGTGAGTGTGAATGAGATACTGCATTTATTTCTGATTTTTCCACATTACTAGCTTGAAAATTGCTAATTTCAAGAGATCTGCCTGCAGTAAGCAATCTCGTCAAATCAAGATCTTCTCGTAATGCTCGTCTTCTAAGTCTCTGAGACGTACATGTCAAGACGATCTGCAAAATATCTCTTTGTCAACATCGTGAAAGTCACAGGTTTGCGCATATTTTCTCAATCTAGTGCAGTAAGCGTCAATGCTTTCACCTACATTTTGCTTTGCTTGATGGAAGTTATAGATTTCAAAAGTCGTGTTAACGATAGGAATGAAATAGTCAGTGAGTGCTTTGACTGCCTTGTCATACTCTTTTCCATTCCCTGTGTTTGGAATAGTGTCGAATATTTCTGCAACTGTGGGGCCAGCTAGATGTAACAACCATGCACGCTTTTGAGTTGGCTCAACAATGTTCAGACCTACCATAAGTCTTTCAAAACAGGTCAACCATTGCTTCCATCACGGACCACTGTTTCCTTCGGCATGCACATCGAACGCGGGAAACACGGGTACGCTTTGTAATGAAACAGCCATGACAATGATTAGATACTTTTTTTTCTTTTCATCTGTATATCCTCGTCGCCAATATAATGTTCTTGAATGATCCTTGCTCTGTTGATAAATGATATGATCCTTGAAGGAGTGAAACGAAGACTTTTATTCGTCATCAGTGCAATGAATACAGGGTGCCACCATTGATACTGGCTCGCACATGGTCAATTCCAAAACGAGACCCTGACCCATACATATGCATACAATTATAAACCTTGATCGCATATACACTACATGGGGGAAGCCAGAAATAGGCTTCACACATTGTATTCATGTTGGGAATGGAATGTGGGCCTTCGGTGTAATGAGCGAATGCTTTATTCACTAGCTAGGCTGCCCCTCCACCAGTGTAGATTGTATTACACATTTACCTTTGGTGTGTCTTCACCAGCAAAGCCGGCACGTATAGAATAGGATCCGACATCAAACACCAAAGCTCCCACCTCATCTGAAAGACAATGACTTCCTGTTTATTTAATGTGACTGTCTTCCAAAATAATTCAATCCTATTTTCAATGAGTCACATTTGACGAAAGAAATTTCTATTAGTCTATCAGTCACTATAATTTACTAATTTTGTGTACTGTTGCTGGGCCTGCGTACTATTGCTTGGCATGCGTACTATTGCTTGTAATGTGTACTATTGCTTGAAATGTATACTATTGCTTGGCATGTGTAGTATTTCTTGGCACATGTACTATTGCTTGTAATGTGTACTATATCTTGGCATGTGTTGTATTCCTTGGCACATGTACTATTGCTTGATATGTGTACTATATCTTGGCATGTGTTGTATTTCTTGGTATGTGTAGTATTTCTTGGCAGATGTACTATTGCTTGTAATGTGCACTATATCTTGGCATGTGTTGTATTTCTTGGCACATGTACTATTGCTTGATATGTGTACTATATCTTGGCATGTGTTGTATTTCTTGGCACATGTAGTATTTCTTGGCATGTGTAGTTTATCTTGGCATGTGTTGTATTTCTTGGCATGTGTAGTATTTCTTGGCATGTGTACTATATCTTGGCATGTGTAGTATTTCTTGGCATGTGTACTATATCTTGGCATGTGTAGTATTTCTTGGCACATGTACTATTGCTTGTAATGTGTACTATATCTTGGCATGTGTAGTTTATCTTGGCATGTGTAGTATTTCTTGGCACATGTACTATTGCTTGTAATGTGTACTATTGCTTGGCATGTGTAGTATTTCTTGGCACATGTACTATTGCTTGTAATGTGTACTATATCTTGGTATGTGTAGTATTTCTTGGCATGTGTAGTTTATCTTGGCATGTGTAGTATTTCTTGGCATGTGTAGTATTTCTTGGCATGTGTACTATATCTTGGCATGTGTTGTATTTCTTGGCACATGTACTATTGCTTGTAATGTGTACTATTGCTGGGCATGTGTACTATTGCTTGGCATGTGTACTATTGCTTGGCAAGTGTAGTATTTCTTGGCACATGTACTATTGCTTGTAATGTGTACTATTGCTTGGCATGTGTAGTATTTCTTGGCACATGTACTATTGCTTGTAATGTGTACTATTGCTGGGCATGAGTGGGCACATCCATTCCACAATGCTGGTTAGGATGTGGAAACCAACCAAATCTGCAAAGGAACTGGTTCTGTCAGTTGTAGAATGAGGTGCCCTGTCTCCAATGCCATACATCGCCAAGAAAGGTATATATGTGTCTTCAGATAATGGTTGGGGTAGAGTTGACAGAGGGCTGTAGATGAACTGGTAACCCAAATAATTCATAACCATGGAGAATTTGTAGACACATCATCTTGTAGACACAATTCTACGTGGACTCGTAAACAAAACAGAAGTGGTGTCTGCATGGCCGCAGCTAGTTTCTATCACTGTATGATAAAATAAGCCTACAAATTCATTCCCAGTTTTACAACAAATTCTATGAATTCACGGCATTCCATTCAGAATACTCAGGAAACCATGAGAAAATTAAAAAAAGGATTTTCTTCAAATCAATCACTCACACAACAAAAGTTGTTTCAGACAAGGAAATCCCCATCTATAAATAAGCATAAGGCTACACCAGTACTTTATGCATTTGTTGTTTGGACAGTGGCCAACCTGGGCCACGATTTTGTGTCTGACACATTGAAAACATCATCTCCGAAACTTCATAAGACTCATAAATTAAATTAATCTTAAAAATCCCAGTACAAATCCTGACTGAAACCATTTCGCGGCATTTTCAAAACGTAGGCTAAATTAGAAAATGTGAGATAGATATCTGGGCCAATTTGAAGCATACACACCGAAATACTTATTCAGGAATATGGGGTTTATACTATTGTACAGCGAAATGATATGTAAGACTTCGATTGACTCATCACACCGTGAGTGCATGGTATGCCTGACCTGTACAATACAACAATTGTTTTTGTCTGTGAAAACAGATAGGACATAGGTTTATCTGTCTCTACATACAAGGGATTTCCGTCTTTCTCTATTCACTAACTGGTGTCCAAAGAATAAAATGCGTACCTCCTCCGTACACTCCGCCACTCATATCAAAGATCCGGATGCCGCTTCAACTTCTTTGAGATAAATAATAATATAGTGTGCTCGCGTGTGCCTGGCTTTGAATAATAAACTTCCGGTCTTCTAAAATACGCAGTCGAGTTATCCCCCTTGGACTGATCACACTAGCCCTCAAACATGTCAGCCCCCACTCGGCCAAACTTGTTGATGATCGTGAGTTCGGCAGTAGAAGGTATGCCGTATATTTATTTTGTTGTAATGTTTAGACTGAAGTACCCCCTTTCAGTCAGACCAACAAGGCTTCAGAAGATGTCCCTTGTCCCTCTGGCATTACTCCTCTCCGTGCGACGACAGCGTAGACTACCGGACACAGATACAGTAAAATGAAAAGGGGCGTGGCAAATATTACACATTACCCGATGTCCATGTACTTTAGTCAGATTAAGGGTACTTAAAATGATTATATCGGGACACCGGCCAAACACTTTATCTAGTGTATGTAGCGGAATGTAGTTCCACCATATATTTACAGAAAGTAAAATTAATACAAAATTCCAATTTTACGTATGGAAACAATCGTTAAAAGCCGTTAGGCTTTTTGGCTTGTATAAGTCCTAAAAGAAATGAATAAGATTCATCTTACCCAACCAAATTTGTCATGAGGTGCCAACCTTGAAGTATTTCCAGTTGCACTCACTATTTGTGATAGAGAGCAAAAGGGGAATATTACTTTTATTAAATTAAATGTAATTGGATTTAGACTGACAACATTATGTTTTAAGCTTAAACTGCATATGTCTATAACCATATAGCAATTAAGATGATACGTTTTATTGATTTGTATTCTATTTTTTTTATGTGTATGGTTCATGCACACAGGAAAGACGGCGGGAAAACAGTCCCCAAAGTGACTGATTTTAATTTTATTTTTCACTGCAAAATATAGTAACAAGAAAACATTTCTCAAGTGATTTATTGATTATCATCTTCTTTAGTTATTGATCAGGCCAAAATGCATATATCTCACAACCAGACACCCTGCACCTCATCAGTTTATTGACCCCAAGTGCCTGCAGTGTTCCCTTGTTTCTTTACTTGATGAGGTACACCATGTACATTGTCTTCTAAAGCATAATCATAACAGTCATGTTTCCTGTGATTCACATACAGTGACAGGTAATGTACAATGATGCATTGAAAGTTAATATGAAAAAATATTAAAAGTAACATTCTTCATGCAGCACATTTTGAAACATTTGAAGGAAAATGTAATTATTGATGTAATGTGGCCTCCACCACACAAAGACAGTGAAAACATACATGCATAGAACGCAATATAATTTGCATATCAGTTCCTGGTTGTTATAATCTTTAATGGTCTTGTCACACAAAAAAGGTTCTTTAAGGACCATATTCAAATATAAACCTAATGACCTATATGGCATCAGCCAGCCCACATATTGCCACTACCCGCTGCTTTTGGTCAGCTCTAACTGCCTTGGTGTTTTCTGGTAATAATAAGGCGGCATATGTGTACACTTTTACTATATACAGGTCAACATTTACAAGAAGCACTATGTATCTGGTCAGCACATAATTGTTGTGGTGTTGGTGCCCCAGAACACCTAGCCAGCCCTAGATAGGGATAGGGTGAGACCTTCCTCCCTCTGTGTCACAGTCAAGGCCACATGACAAGTATTATGTCTTTAGTATTGTCATGATCAGGAGCTGAGTGTTTGGACGAGGTGTTTTAGAATCGGGTAGGCAGGCGGCAGTGTGCAAACCAGATGGTGGTGGTGTGCAGACAGATAGCATGCATGTGCATCCTTCTTGCTATGTTCAATGCATCTCATATGCATCAGTATATAGTGTCCCTTTCCTGGAGTCAGCTCGGAATAGAGCTGGTTGTGTTTGGGACTGAAGCCCTGTGTTTCGGAATGTTGCCGGGCTCAGTGTTGAGGGGGTCAGTGTTGAGAGGGACAGTGTTCAGGGGGTCAGTGTTGAGAGGGCCAGCGTTCAGGGGGTCAGTGTTAAGAGGGCCAGCACTCAGGGGGTCAGTGCTCAGAGGTCCAGTGTTCAGGGGCCAAGTGTTGAGAGGGCCAGTGTTGAGAGGGCCAGCATTCAGGGGGCCAGTGTTCAGGGGCCAAGTGTTCAGAGGGCCAGTGTTCAGAGGGTCAGTGTTCAGAGGGTCAGTGTTCAGAGGGCCAGTGTTCAGGGGATCAGTGTTGAGAGGGTCAGTGTTCAGGGGGTCAGCGTTCAGTGGGTCAGTGTTTAGAGGGCCAGTGTTCATGGGGGTCAGTGTTGAGAGGGCAAGTGTTCATGGGGGTCAGTGTTGAGAGGGACAGTGTTCAGGGGGTCAGTGTTGAGGCCAGTGTGATGCAGATAATTGTTGTCATGAACAGGTCACTGTGATGCAGATAATGGTTGTCATGAACAGGTCACTGTGATGCAGATAATGGTTGTCATGAACAGGTCACTGTGATGCAGATAATGGTTGTCATGAACAGATCACTGTGATGCAGATAGTGGTTGTCATGAACAGGTCACTGTGATGCAGATTATGGTTGTCACGAACATGTCACTGTGCTGCAGATAATGGTTGTCATGAACAGGTCACTGTGCTGCAGATAATGATTGTCATGAACAGGTCACTATGATGCAGATAATGGCTGTCATGAACATGTCACTCTGCGGCAGATAATGGTTGTCATGAACAGGTCACTGTGATGCAGATAATGGTTGTCATGAACATGTCACTGTGGTGCAGATAGTGGTTGTCATGAACAGGTCACTGTGCTGCAGATAATGGTTGTCATGAACATGTCACTGTGGTGCAGATAGTGGTTGTCATGAACAGGTCACTGTGATGTAGATAATGGTTGCCATAAACAGGTCACTGTGATGTAGATAATGGTTGTCATGAACATGTCACTGTGGTGCAGATAGTGGTTGTCATGAACAGGTCACTGTGATGTAGATAATGGTTGTCATGAACATGTCACTGTGGTGCAGATAATGGTTGTCATGAACATGTCACTGTGGTGCAGATAGTGGTTGCCATGAACAGGTCACTGTGATGCAGATAATGGTTGCCATGAACAGGTCACTGTGATGTAGATAATGGTTGTCATGAACATGTCACTGTGGTGCAGATAGTGGTTGTCATGAACAGGTCACTGTGATGCAGATAATGGTTGTCATGAACATGTCACTGTGGTGCAGATAATGGTTGTCATGAACATGTCACTGTGGTGCAGATAATGGTTGTCATGAACAGGTCACTGTGATGCAGATTATGGTTGTCATGAACAGGTCACTGTGCTGCAGATAATGGTTGTCATGAACAGGTGACTGTGATGCAGATAATGGTTGTCATGAACAGGTCACTATGATGCAGATAATAGCTGTCATGAACATGTCACTCTGCGGCAGATAATGGTTGTCATGAACATGTCACTGTGATGCAGATAATGGTTGTCATGAACAGGTCACTGTGCTGCAGATAATGGTTGTCATGAACAGGTCACTGTGGTGCAGATAATGGTTGTCATGAACATGTCACTGTGATGCAGATAGTGGTTGTCATGAACAGGTCACTGTGCTGCAGATAATGGTTGTCATGAACAGGTCACTCTGTGGCAGATAATGGTTGTCATGAACATGTCACTGTGGTGCAGATAGTGGTTGTCATGAACAGGTCACTGTGCTGCAGATAATGGTTGTCATGAACATGTCACTGTGGTGCAGATAGTGGTTGTCATGAACAGGTCACTGTGATGTAGATAATGGTTGCCATGAACAGGTCACTGTGATGTAGATAATGGTTGTCATGAACATGTCACTGTGGTGCAGATAGTGGTTGTCATGAACAGGTCACTGTGATGTAGATAATGGTTGTCATGAACATGTCACTGTGGTGCAGATAATGGTTGTCATGAACATGTCACTGTGGTGCAGATAGTGGTTGCCATGAACAGGTCACTGTGATGCAGATAGTGGTTGCCATGAACAGGTCACTGTGATGTAGATAATGGTTGTCATGAACATGTCACTGTGCTGCAGATAATGGTTGTCATGAACATGTCACTGTGGTGCAGATAATGGTTGTCATGAACATGTCACTGTGGTGCAGATAGTGGTTGTCATGAACAGGTCACTGTGGTGCAGATAGTGGTTGTCATGAACAGGTCACTGTGATGCAGATAATGGTTGTCATGAACAGGTCACTGTGATGTAGATAATGGTTGCCATGAACAGGTCACTGTGATGCAGATAATGGTTGTCGAGAACAGGTCACTGTGATGCAGATAATGGCTGTCATGAACATGTCACTCTGCGGCAGATAATGGTTGTCATGAACAGGTCACTGTGATGCAGATAATGGTTGTCATGAACAGGTCACTGTGCTGCAGATAATGGTTGTCATGAACAGGTCACTGTGCTGCAGATAATGGTTGTCATGAACATGTCACTGTGGTGCAGATAATGGTTGTCATGAACATGTCACTGTGGTGCAGATAGTGGTTGTCATGAACAGGTCACTGTGGTGCAGATAGTGGTTGTCATGAACAGGTCACTGTGATGCAGATAATGGTTGTCATGAACAGGTCACTGTGATGTAGATAATGGTTGCCATGAACAGGTCACTGTGATGCAGATAATGGTTGTCGAGAACAGGTCACTGTGCTGCAGATGATGGTTGTCATGAACAGGTCACTGTGATGCAGATAATGGTTGTCATGAACAGGTCACTGTGCTGCAGATAATGGTTGTCATGAACAGGTCACTGTGCTGCAGATAATGGTTGTCATGAACATGTCACTGTGGTGCAGATAATGGTTGTCATGAACATGTCACTGTGGTGCAGATAGTGGTTGTCATGAACATGTCACTGTGGTGCAGATAGTGGTTGTCATGAACAGGTCACTGTGATGCAGATAATGGTTGTCATGAACAGGTCACTGTGATGTAGATAATGGTTGCCATGAACAGGTCACTGTGATGCAGATAATGGTTGTCGAGAACAGGTCACTGTGCTGCAGATGATGGTTGTCATGAACAGGTCACTGTGATGCAGATAGTGGTTGTCATGAACATGTCACTGTGGTGCAGATAGTGGTTGTCATGAACAGGTCACTGTGATGTAGATAATGGCTGTCATGAACAGGTCACTGTGATGTAGATAATGGTTGTCATGAACAGGTCACTGTGATGCAGATAATGGTTGTCATGAACAGGTCACTGTGATGTAGATAATGGCTGTCATGAACAGGTCACTGTGATGTAGATAATGGTTGTCATGAACAGGTCACTGTGGTGCAGATAATGGTTGTCATGAACAGGTCACTGTGATGCAGATAATGGTTTTCATGAACAGGTCACTGTGATGTAGATAATGGTTGCCATGAACACGTCACTGTGACGTAGATAATGGTTGCCATGAACAGGTCACTGTGATGCAGATAATGGTTGTCATGAACAGGTCACTGTGATGCAGATAATGGTTGTCATGAACAGGTCACTGTGATGAAGATAATGGTTGCCATGAACATGTCACTGTGGTGCAGATAGTGGTTGTCATGAACAGGTCACTGTGATGTAGATAATGGTTGTCATGAACAGGTCACTGTGATGTAGATAATGGTTGTCATGAACAGGTCACTGTGATGCACGTCAGGCCTGAGTCTCATATAGAAAGTACACTGACATGAGTAGATTGATTTCATGAGATGAAAATGAAGTTGAAAATGAAATCAATCCTGTCTTTTCAGAAATCTGTGGATGTCAATGGAATATTTGTGATGATTTACACAATTTTACCAAATGATTCCATGTAAAGATCTGCATTCTCTCCTTTGTTTCAGGTGTGTCTGCACAGTCATTTGTCCAAGCATACAATTTGGCTATTCCTACCTTCACCATACAGTTGGCTTCTCCTAATGTAAGTCTGTCTTGAACTTAGGTTGTTCACTGGTCTGCATTAAGAGTAGATTCTTTTTCCAAATTAGGTATTATTATGATCTAAATGATTTACTTTTCATTATTGATTCTTTTGCAAAAGGTGTTCTTATTAACAACCACTTTAAATTCACACGTTACTGAAGAGTCATATAGTGAACTCACTCATCTTGTAAATGGTTTTGCCCACAAGAACAACAAATAGTATTTGTCTTTATTCCACATACAGTTTATATTTATAGAAAACCCATCATAATTTATGTTAGTGTGATTTTTAGCAAACAGAAAGAAATGTGCACATTTTCATATTTCCCAAAATTTGTTATGTGCAGCAACATTGTACTGATAATATCATGCATCAAGGTTACAATGCAGTGCTGTGATGTCATGCATCAAGGTTACAATGCAGTGCTGTGATGTCACATAACAAGGTTACAATGCAGTGCTGTGATGTCACGCATCAAGGTTAAAATGCACTGCTATGATGTCACGTATCAAAGTTACAATACAGTGCTGTGATGTCATGTAACAAGGTTACAATGCACTGCTATGATGTCACGCATCAAGGTTACAATGCAGTGCTGTGATGTCACGCATCAAGGTTAAAATGCACTGCTATGATGTCACGTATCAAAGTTACAATGCAGTGCTGTGATGTCATGTAACAAGGTTACAATGCAGTGCTGTGATGTCATACATCAAGGTTACAATGCAGTGCTGTGATGTCATGTATCAAGATTACAATGCAGTGCTGTGATGTAATCCATCAAGGTTACAATGCAGTGCTGTGATGTTATGCATCAAGGTTACAATGAAGTGCTTTGATGTCTCGCATCAAGGTTACAATACAGTGCTGTGATGTCATGTATCAAGATTACAATGCACTGCTGTGATGTCACGCATCAAGGTTACAATGCAGTGCTGTGATGTCACGTAACAAGGTTACACGACAGTGCGCTGATGTCCCATAACAAGGTTACAATGCACTAGTCTGATGTCACGCATCAAGGTTACAATGCAAAGCTGTGATGTCACATAACAAGCTTCCAATGCAGTGCTGTGATGTCATGCATCAAGGAAACAATGCACTGCTGTTATGTCACCCATCAAAGTTACAATACAGTGCTGTGATGTCATGTAACAAGGTTACAATGCACTCCTGTGATGTCACGGTTCAAGGTTACAATGCAGTGCTGTGATGTCATGTAACAAGGTTACAATGTTGTGCTGTGATGTTATGCATCAAGGTTACAATGCAGTGCTGTGATGTCAAGCATCAAGGTTACAATGCAGTGCTGTGATGTCACATAACAAGGTTACAATGCAGTGCTCTGATGTCATCCATCAAGGTTACAATACAGTGTTGTGATGTCATGCATCAAGGTTACAATACAGTGCTTTGATGTCATGCATCAAGGTTACAATGCAGTGCTGTGATGTTATGCATCAAGGTTACAATGCAGTGCTGTGATGTCATCCATCAAGGTTACAATACAGTGCTGTGATGTCATGCATCAAGGTTACAATGTAGTGCTGTGATGTCATGCATCAAGGTTACAATGCGGTGCTGTGATGTCACATAACAAGGTTGCAATGCAGTGCTGTGATGTCATGAATCAAGGTAACAATGCAGTGCTGTGATGTCACATAACAAGGTAACAATGCAGTGCTGTGATGTCACATAACAAGGTTGCAATGCAGTGCTGTGATGTCACATACCAAGGTTACAATGCAGTGCTGTGATGTCATGCATCAAGGTTACAATGCAGTGCTTTGATGTCATGTAACAAGGTTACAATGCAGTGCTGTGATGTCATGCATCAAGGTTACAATGCAGTGCTGTGATGTCATGCATCAAGGTTAAAATGCAGTGCTGTGATGTCATGCATCAAGGTTACAATGCAGTGCTGTGATGTCATCAATCAAGGTTACAATGCAGTGCTGTGATGTCACGTAACAAGGTTACAATGGAGTGCTGTGATGTCATTCATCAAGGATAAATGCAGTGATGTAATGTCATGCATCAAGGTTTCAATGGACATCCACAGATTTCTGTAAAGATAGAGTTGATTTCATTTCCTTCCTAATTTTCATCTCATGATATCAATATATGCATGTTCCTGAGTTGAATCACAGTGACCTGTTCATGACAGCCATTATCTGCATCACAGTGACCTGTTCATGACAACCAATATCTGCAGCACAGTGACCTGTTCATGACAACCATTATCTGCAGCACAGTGACCTGTTCATGACAACCACTATCTGCATCACAGTGACCTGTTCATGACAACCAATATCTGCAGCACAGTGACCTGTTCATGACAACCATTATCTGCAGCACAGTGACCTGTTCATGACAGCCATTATCTGCATCATAGTGACCTGTTCATGACAACCACTATCTGCACCACAGTGACCTGTTCATGACAGCCATTATCTGCATCATAGTGACCTCTTCATGACAACCACTATCTGCACCACAGTGACATGTTCATGACAACTTTTATCTGCACCACAGTGACCTGTTCATGACAACCATTATCTGCCGCAGAGTGACCTGTTCATGACAACCATTATCTGCATCACAGTGACCTGTTCATGACAACCACTATCTGCGGCACAGTGACCTGTTCATGACAGCCATTATCTGCATCATAGTCACCTGTTCATGACAGCCATTATCTGCACCACAGTGACATGTTCATGACAACCATTATCTGCAGCACAGTGACATGTTCATGACAACCACTATCTGCATCACAGTGACATGTTCATGACAACCATTATCTGCAGCACAGTGACATGTTCATGACAACCACTATCTGCATCATAGTGACCTGTTCATGACAGCCATTATCTGCACCACAGTGACCTGTTCATGACAACCACTATCTGCACCACAGTGACCTGTTCATGACAGCCATTATCTGCATCATAGTGACCTGTTCATGACAGCCACTATCTGCACCACAGTGACCTGTTCATGACAACCACTATCTGCACCACAGTGACCTGTTCATGACAACCACTATCTGCACCACAGTGACCTGTTCATGACAACCATTATCTGCAGCACAGTGACCTGTTCATGACAGCCATTATCTGCATCATAGTGACCTGTTCATGACAGCCATTATCTACATCACAGTGACCTGTTCATGACAACCATAATCTGCAGCACAGTGACATGTTCATGACAACCACTATCTGCATCATAGTGACCTGTTCATGACAACCAATATCTGCAGCACAGTGACCTGTTCATGACAGCCATTTTCTGCACCACAGTGACCTGTTCATGACAACCACTATCTGCACCACAGTGACCTGTTCATGACAGCCATTATCTGCATCATAGTGACCTGTTCATGACAGCCACTATCTGCACCACAGTGACCTGTTCATGACAACCACTATCTGCACCACAGTGACCTGTTCATGACAACCACTATCTGCACCACAGTGACCTGTTCATGACAGCCATTATCTGCATCATAGTGACCTGTTCATGACAACCATTATCTACATCACAGTGACCTGTTCATGACAACTTTTATCTGCAGCACAATGACCTGTTCATGACAACCATTATCTGCATCACAGTGACCTGTTCATGACAACCATTAGCAACACATTCAACCACATACACATCCCTGTCAACAGGCTCACATTCAACCACACACATCCCTGTCAACAGGATCACATTCAACCACACACACATCCCTGTCAAAAGCAGCACATTCAACCACACACACATCCCTGTCAACAGCAGCACATTCAACCACACACACATTCCTGTCAACAGCAGCACATTCAACCACATACACATCCCTATCAACAGGAGCACATTCAACCACACACACATTCCTGTCCGCAGCAGCACATTCAACCACACACACATCCTTGCTTACAGGATCACATTCAACCACACACACATTCCTGTCAACAGGATCATATTCAACCACTTACACATTCCTGTCATCAGGATCACATTCAACCACACACACATTCCTGTCCACAGCAGCACATTCAACCACACAAACATTCCTGTCTACAGGATCACATTCAACCACACACACATCCCTGTCAACAGGATCACATTCAACCACAGACACATTCCTGTCAACAGGAGCACACTCAACCACACACACATTCCTGTCTACAGGATCACATTCATACACACACAAATTCCTGTCAACAGGATCACATTCAACCACGCACACATTCCTGTCAACAGCAGCACATTAAACCACACACACATCCCTGTCAACAGCAGCACATTCAACCACACACACATTCCTGTCAACAGGATCACATTCAGCCACACACACATCCCTGTCAACAGGATCACATTCAACCACACACACATCCCTGTCAAAATCATCAAATTCAAGCACACACACGTCCCTGTCAACAGCAGCACATTTAACCACACACACATCCCTGTCAACAGCAGCACATTCAACCACACACACATCCCTGTCAACAGGATCACATTCAACAACACACACATTCCTGTCAACAGCAGCACATTCAACCACATACACATTCCTGTCAAAAGGAGCACATTCAACCACACACACATTCCTGTCCGCAGCAGCACATTCAACCACACACATATCCCTGTCAAAGGGATCACATTCAACCACACACACATTCCTGTCAACAGATTCACATTTGACCACTTACACATTCCTGTCATCAGGATCACATTCATACACACACACATTCCTGTCCACAGCAGCACATTCAACCACACACATCCCTATCAATAGGATCACATTCAACCTCATACACATTCCTGTCAACAGCAGAACATTCAACCACACAGACATTCCTGTCAACAGGATCACATTCAACCACAGACACATCCCTGTCAACAGCAGCACACTCAACCACACACACATTCCTGTCGATAGAATCACATTCATACACACACAAATTCCTGTCAACAGCAGCACATTCAACCACACACACATTCCTGTCAACAGCAGCACATTCAACCGTACACACATCCCTGTCAACAGGATCACATTCAACCACACACTCATTCCTGTCAGCAGCAGCACATTCAACCACACACACATCCCTTTCAACAGCAGCAAATTCAACCACACACACATCCCTGTCAACAGCAGCACATTCAACCACACACATCCCTGTCAACAGCAGCACATTCAACCACATACACATCCCTGTCAACAGCAGCACACTCAACCACACACACACCCCTGTCAACAGGATCACATTCAACCACACACATCCCTGTCAACAGGATCACATTGAACCACACACACATCCCTGTCAAAAGCAGCACATTCAAGCACACACACATTCCTGTCAACAGCAGCACATTCAACCACACACACATTCCTGTCAACAGCAGCACATTCAGCCACATACACATCCCTGTCAACAGCAGCACATTCAACCACACACACATTCCTGACAACAGCAGCACATTCAACCACACACACATCCCTGTCAACAGCAGCACATTCAACCACACTCACATTCCTGTCAACAGCAGCACATTCAACCACACATACATCCCTGTCAACAGGATCACATTCAACCACACACACATTCCTGTCAACAGTAGCACATTCAACCACACACACATCCCTGTGAACAGGATCACATTCAACCACATACACATTCCTGTCAACAGCAGCACATTCAACCACATACACATCCCTGTCAACAGGATCACATTCAACCACACACACATTCCTGTCAACAGGATCACATTCAACCACACACACATTCCTGTCAACAGTAGCACATTCAACCACACACACATCCCTGTCAACAGGATCACATTCAACCACACACACATCCCTGTCAACAGGATCACATTCAACAACACACACATTCCTGTCAACAGCAGCACATTCAACCACATACACATTCCTGTCAAAAGGAGCACATTCAACCACACATACATTCCTGTCCGCAGCAGCACATTCAACCACACACATATCCCTGTCAAAGGGATCACATTCAACCACACACACATTCCTGTCAACAGATTCACATTCGACCACTTACACATTCCTGTCATCAGGATCACATTCATACACACACACATTCCTGTCCACAGCAGCACATTCAACCACACACATCCCTATCAATAGGATCACATTCAACCTCATACACATTCCTGTCAACAGCAGAACATTCAACCACACAGACATTCCTGTCAACAGGATCACATTCAACCACAGACACAACCCTGTCAACAGCAGCACACTCAACCACACACACATTCCTGTCGATAGAATCACATTCATACACACACAAATTCCTGTCAACAGCAGCACATTCAACCACACACACATTCCTGTCAACAGCAGCACATTCAACCGTACACACATCCCTGTCAACAGGATCACATTCAACCACACACACATTCCTGTCAACAGCAGCACATTCAACCACACACACATCCCTTTCAACAGGATCACATTCAACCACACACATATCCCTGTCAAAAGGATCACATTCAACCACATACACATTCCTGTCAACAACAGAACACTCAACCACACACATCCCTGTCAACAGGATCACATTCAACCACACACACATCCCTCTCAAAAGCAGCCGTTCAACCACACACACATCCCTTTCAACAGCAGCACAGTCAACCACACACATTCCTGTCAACAGCAGCACATTCAACCACACATGTGTACATTCCTGACAACAGCAGCACATTCAACCACACACACATCCCTGTCAACAGCAGCACATTCAACCACACTCACATTCCTGTCAACAGCAGCACATTCAACCACATACACATCCCTGTCAACATGATCACATTCAACCACACACACATTCCTGTCAACAGCAGCACATTCAACCACACACACATCCCTGTCAACAGGATCACATTCAACCACATACACATTCCTGTCAACAGCAGCACATTCAACCACACACACATCCCTGTCTATAGGATCACATTCATACACACACACATTCCTGTCAACAGGCTCACATTCATACACACACAAATTCCTGTCAACAGGCTCACATTCAACCACACATACATTCCTGTCAACAGCAGTACATTCAACCGTACACACATCCCTGTCAACAGGATCACATTCAACCACACACACATTCCTGTCAACAGCAGCTAATTCAACCACACTCACATCCCTGTCAACAGCAGCACATTCAACCACATACACATCCCTGTCAACAGGATCACATTCAACCACACACATTCCTGTCAACAGCAACCCATTCAACCACACACACATCCCTGTCAACAGGATCACATTCAACCACACACACATCCCTTTCAACAGCAGCAAATTCAACCACACACACATCCCTGTCAACGGCAGCACATTCAACCACACACATCCCTGTCAACAGCAGCACATTCAACCACATACACATCCCTGTCAACAGCAGCACACTCAACCACACACACATCCCTGTCAACAGGATCACATTCAACCACACACATCCCTGTCAACAGGATCACATTGAACCACACACACATCCCTGTCAAAAGCAGCACATTCAAGCACACACACATTCCTGTCAACAGCAGCACATTCAACCACACACACATTCCTGTCAACAGCAGCACATTCAGCCACATACACATCCCTGTCAACAGCAGCACATTCAACCACACACACATTCCTGACAACAGCAGCACATTCAACCACACACACATCCCTGTCAACAGCAGCACATTCAACCACACTCACATTCCTGTCAACAGCAGCACATTCAACCACACACACATCCCTGTCAACAGGATCACATTCAACCACACACACATTCCTGTCAACAGAAGCACATTCAACCACACACACATCCCTGTCAACAGGATCACATTCAACCACATACACATACCTGTCAACAGCAGCACATTCAACCACATACACATCCCTGTCAACAGGATCACATTCAACCACACACACATTCCTGTCAATGGGTCTGTAAGAGATATATATGTCTTTATGTTTCAGGGTCGTCAGATTGAATATGTACATCAAGATGATTCCAACAGACGCTGGTTTAATGAATTCAGATCAAAAGCTAACTCCATGCCTATTTCTCTTGAATCAATTGATGGTAAGATATAGTCAAAATTATTGAGAATTTTAATGTCATATTAAAGGAAGAATACATAAAATATCAATATTGACACGTGTTTAAAATTGAAAATGGTCAAAGGGAAGCAACTCTTCTTCAATTTTAGAATTTGCATGTGAGAGTTATCTCCCTTGATTATGGAGCAGACGACTTTTCCTGATATATACTACCCATCAAAAGTTTAGATTCACCAGTGTAAATGTAGCCACTCACTATACTCAACTGTTTCAAACCAGATAATGCCAAATATTCTAAACTTTTTACAGGTACTGTTAACACATGAACTGTTGTGGCATAAAACCAAATCTGTAACGGTGAAAAGATTAGAGTTTTTCGTTCATTAATTGATAAAACTCTGTGAAATGTCGCACATTTTTAAACAAAATTCGCACCAAAACGCAGGTGTTCACATGCACGATAATACACGTGTTTTAGCAGCAATTTGACGCGGGATACTCGTGCAATTCATCTTTATAAGGATTGCAGTTGGCTCCTCTGAGTTAGTGGAGAAATTCTTCTTTGATGCAAGCATGGGTAGAGGGAGAAGTCTCCGTATTGAGCAACGACACCAAGCCTTGGCACTGCTACAAGATGGCAGATCACAACTGTATGTTGCCAGACGTCTTGGCGTATCCCAATAGGCAGTTTCCAACCTCTGGGTACGCTTTCAACAGACCAACTCCGTCCAGGATCGACCCAGGTCGGGTAGGTCAAGGGTAACATCAGAGCAAGATGACCGATGCGTCTTTTTGCTGTTTCTCAGGGGCAGAAACATTACAGCCACAGCAGCCAATAATGCTTTCCAACAAGCTACAGGACGACGTGTATCTGTATCAACAATACGCCGCCGATTACGTCACTACGGACTGCGGGCACGTCGTCCAGCTGTAAGACCCCCTCTTACACCACGCCACCGTCAGAACAGACTGAATTGGGGAAATGGACATTTACGCTGGGGTCCCCGCAGATGGGCAAGGGTACTCTTCTCCGACGAATCAAGGTTCAATCTGCATTTCAACGATGGTCGGATCCCAGTCTATGGACGTCAGGGAGAGCGGTATGCTGACGTTGCTGTTGTGGAGCATGATCGATTTGGAGGTGGATCCGTTATCGTCTGGGGAGGTATCACCCTGACTGGAAGAACTGATTTACTGGTACAGGATGGAAATCTGACTGGCCAGAGATACAGGGACGAGATCATCATTCCTATTGTGCTTCCATTCTTAAGGGCCATGCCAGGTCACGCGGTTTTCCAAGATGATAATGCCAGGCCTCACAGAGCTCGCATCGTGTCAGCTTGTTTACAACAAAATGGGGTGAATCGAATGGATTAGCGAGCATTATCGCCCGATATGAACCCCACTGAGCATGTTTGGGATCTGCTGGGACGGCGTGTTTATGCCAGAGTTCCTCCCCCTGCTAACCTTCGCCAACTTCGCAATGCATTGTTTGAGGAGTGGCAAACATTCCCCAGCGGCAGATTGAACTGTTCTTTCGTGGTATGCAACGTCGATGCAATGTCTGTGTTAGAGCCAGGGGTGGTCATACCCGTTATTAAATTTTGCAATTTCACTTTTGTATGGTACTAGCCAATACGGCATTCTGGTTCACTAATCATCAATGCACACGTCCTTGTGAACAAGGATATGAAGACCTAAATGAATGATTTTGTTATTTTTTATTGGTAGCTTTCACAAATACGATTTTCTTACAAGATATAGTGAGTGGTTTCAGTGAGTCTAAACTTTTGATGGGTAGGGAGAAAAGAAGGCTGATTCTACAGCTCCATGATGAAGGCATCACTGATGCTGCTACATTAGCAAAGAGCACAGATACTCCTCTTTCTACAGTGTATAGAGTTAAGAAGAATATTGAGAATGGTTCAGGAATTGAGCACAGAAAAGGAGCAGGTAGACCTCGAAAACTGGTGTTTGGTGATCGTGTCACACTGGGTATTTTGGCTTCTAAAAACAGAAGGGTGAGTATCTCAAACATCCAACATGAAATGGTAAATAGAGGGACAGTAAATGTATCTAAATCTACAGTAAGAAGAAATTTGATTGAACTTGGATGGGAAAAAAAGAAAGGAATTGCCTCTCCGCTCTTGAAACAAAAACACAAGGATAGACGTGTAGAGTGGTGTTTGGCGCATGAAAAGTTTGACTGGAACAGTGTTATTTTCACAGATGAGAGCTCTGTATGGGTGTATCCTAACAATGTTAAAATGTGGACAAAATTTCATTCCGTTCCATTGTACCAGAGACCAAAGTACAGTCGGAAGTTTCATGTTTGGGGAGGGATATCTTCACTTGGAACGACGCCCATGTGTGTCTTTGAGTGTAATTTAACCAGTAAAAGGTATACAGACATTTCGGAAGCTCACCTGATCCCAAATGCAGATGTTTTTTTATGGAAATACTTGGATTTTGCAACAGGATAATGACCCCAAACACACCGCAAGACATGTGCGGCAGTGGTTTGTGGACAACAATGTGACCGTTTTGGACTGGCCTAGCTACAGCCCGGACTCAAATCCCATAGAAAATGTGTGGGGACTCATGAAGGAGTCGATGAACCAAAAGGGATTGACAAAAGTTGATGACATGAAGCGCGAGGTGCTGCAATATTGGGACTCTCTCACCCACGTGACTCTAACCTCTCATAGGAAGTATGCCCAATCGTATAAAACTGTGTTTGGAAGCAAATGGTGGTCTGATAGAAGGTTTGTGCTCACTGAAAATATGTTTTATTTGAGGCGGGGGGGGGGGGGGGGGGGGAATTTTCATATTTACAGTTTTAAAGATTTTTCAATTCTCAATAATTATGACTCAAACTGTATGAATTGCTGGTGCTGCAAGATTGTGATAAAGCTGCATTTAGGATGTCTTGGGTTCCCAAATTAGAAAAACAATTAACAGATGCTTGGGGTGAAATAGATCGCCAAAGAACTTATTTGGAAAATCATAACAAAAATCAATTTTCAGCGCACCTCCACCTTTTGAGTGACCGTATGCCGGTAGTCCATTCATCTATATCAATCCAGTGAAATCTGTTTGACGTAACTGCAGTACACTATTACATGGGTAGACTGAAGGTCCAAGTGAGCCCATCTGGCAGTTGTCTGTTACTGCTACACACTGTTTCCATTGTCATCATCCCTCAATATCTTCACAACAGACACATTGTTTGGAAGATCCCTGCACTGATGCTATAACCAGTTGCTCTCAGAAGTTCCATCAATTTTATCTTAAACTATCTGATTTCATTATTTTCACTTTACATGTCCTTACCACACTTTGTCACTCACTCACTTACTCCCCCACCCACCCACTCACTCACTTACTCCCCTTCCCACTCACTCACTCTCACTCACTCACTCACTTACTCCCCCACCCACTCACTCACTCACTCACTCGCCCAAGTACACACCCACCCACTCACCCACTTACTCCCCAAACCAACCACCCAACGTCCCACTAACTCACTCAGTCACTTACTCCCCCGACCACCCACTCACTCACTCACTTACCCCACGCCTACCCACCCACTCACTTACTTACTCCCCCACCTACCCACCCACTCCCCCACCTACCCACTCACTCACTCACTCACTCACTCACTCACTCACTCACTCACCAACTCTCACTTACTCCCCCACCCACTCACTCACTCACTCGCCCATCCAATACCCACTCACTCCACAAACCAACCACCCAACATCCCACTAACTAACTCAGTCACTTACTCCCCCGACTACCCACCCACCAACCCACTCACTCACTTACTCCCCCGCCTACCCACCCACTCTCTCACTTACTCCCCCGCCTACCCACCCACTCTCTCACTTACTCCCCCGACTACCCACCCACCAACCCACTCAATCACTTACTCCCCCGACTACCCACCCACCAACCCACTCACTCACTTACTCCCCCGCCTACCCACCCACTCTCTCACTTACTCCCCCACCTACCCACCCACTCTCTCACTTACTCCCCCGACTACCCACCCACCAACCCACTCACTCACTTACTCCCCCGCCTACCCACCCACTCTCTCACTTACTCCCCCACCTACCCAACCACTCCCCCACCTACCCACTCACTCACTTACTCACTCACTGTGATATCCTTGTAGCCAACAGATACTCAGCGATGTTGATACCGGCTGCTCCAGGTGCACTCCATGACCTGTTCTCCAGTAAAGACCTAGCTCAGATTGTCCTCCATTTTGTCAAAGAAAAAAGTAAGTGATGTACGTTGTACGTGCTTTCACACAATGAAGGCTGACTGTGTCTGCGTTAAATGAAATAGTTTGGACTTAGTCTCAAATACACTCTGATTGTAAAAATGTATATACCACATCATATTAGACAATGAATACGAGTCATGAAGTATGTATTTAATACCTTATGTAGCAAAAGAAGGTGGTCAGAGCAAGGATTACCACTGCTTTTGAACAACATCTATTAGATATAGAGGCCAGCCAGTTTACCAATGTATCTTCATGTTGAAAGGTAAATGTGTCTGCTGAAAGATGCACACCTGGACAAACTGTGATGATCTCAATACAACATCATTCTCTCATTATTCTCTCATTATTCTCTCTCTTGGGAGCATGGCACGGAATTCAATACAGCGGAGAGTTGTGTCACATGCCAGTACCTGATGACCGTGGTGTACCAGATGGAATGACCGGATCATGATTCCTGGTTTTAGCTACCCTTACCTGGTCTCATTGGTTCTACCGTGTTGGACATCTAAGACTGCATCACTTTGAGCTTTCCTCCCTCATCAAGCTGACACGTCTTGATAAACTTGTATACTGTTCAATGTTAAAGCCAACTCACTTACTATTGTCTCTCACACACTCCATGTGCACAGCTTCCTGCAGCCCTGCTCTTGTGTTGTAGAAGCTATCTGTGCTGTTGGGGATGGTGTGGCAGGTCTGTGTGGTGCCCGGCACCAGGACAACAAAGAATGGTGCTTCCAAGACTACAGCCTCACAGCAGTGAGTAGCTCTCACCCGTTTGTGTACATCATAGACACTGTGGCAAACACCCACTCTGTGTAGCCATCCAACATGGTGGACGCTGTGTCTACCATCCCCTCTGTATAGTCATCTAACATGGTGGACGCTGTGGCTACCATCCCCTCTGTATAGACATCCAACATGGTGGACGCTGTGGCTACCATCCCCTCTGTATAGTCATCCAACATGGTGGACGCTGTGGCTACCATTCCATTATAGTATTCCAACATGGTGGACGCTGTGTCTACCATCCCCTCTGTATAGTCATCCAACATGGTGGACGCTGTGGCTACCATCCCATTATACTCATCGAACATGGTGGACACTGTGGCTACCATCCCCTCTTTTATAGTTATCCAACATGGTGAACGCTGTGGCCACCATTCCATTATAGTCATCCAACATGGTGGACGCTGTGGCTACCATCCCCTCTGTGTAGTCAACCAACATGGTGGACGCTGTGGCTACCATTCCATTATAGTCATCCAACATGGTGGACGCTGTGGCTACCATCCCCTCTGTGTAGTCAACCAACATGGTGGACGCTGTGGCTACCATTCCATTATAGTCATCCAACATGGTGGACGCTGTGGCTACCATCCCCTCTGTGTAGTCAACCAACATGGTGGACGCTGTGGCTACCATTCCCTCTGTGTAGTCATCCAACATGGTGGACGCTGTGGAGAATGTTCAACTTTTCCCTAGGACCTGCTCACGTTTGTTGACTGTTATTGTCTATGTCACCATGATAGCACTAGATTACTTATTTGATCAAAAGTAGTTCATGGTAGTAATGGTTGGATTTTTAATCTTCTCAGTAGCAATAAGTTTTAGATTTGAAACTGAGTGTAAAGATGTGGCAACAATGTTATGCAATATTATAATTAAAATCATTGAAGATTAAAAAGCACTGTTGGAATGTTGTTTCCTGTTTCCTAATTGTTAGTGATTACCTCGCTATCCAGACATGGTCGCAATGTAGTGGCTGCCTTACTGTGTAGATAGACGAAGCTGTTGACTCTGTAGCCAGGCACAGTTTTAAAATGATAACTTCCACATATATAGAAAGTCCCCAATGGAAGCTGGACCAAGTTCAATACCCACCCTTACAATCAATACTGAGAAGGTCAAAGGTTGTATGACCATGATGACCAGGCTTGACAGAAACCAAATGTAATGGGTAGGTTTGCTAAATTGCAAAATGCTTGGATTGTGAAACGTCTCATGATAAGACTAAAACAGTAAAAGAAGGACCGTTGACCTGTTTATATGTAATTTGTTAGGCTAAAAAAATAATAGAACTGGTTCTCAGGCACTGCCCAAATCATCATAAAGTCTTCCGCATATTTTGTTTGTATTTCCATTTTCAAAACTAAAATAATCTTTAGATATTCCATTTCTCGAACACACGATCCCGGCAGTGAAATGCTACAATACTTAAGAACAATATGATTTCCCAAAAATTAGTGTACACCAAATTTGGTTACATACTATCTTGAACCCCCCCCACCCCCAAAATACCAAGACCCGCCTGCCCAATAATTTCAAAAGCCACTGCCTGAGAACCAATTCTATTATTTTTTTAAGCCTTAACACTGACTACATTCTATTACGATCCAAATCAGTCTGTGTTCATTCTCTGTTGGGACTCGTCCCAGACGATGACTGCTGTAACACAGATCTCAGTTCCATCAATATCTGAAAGGATTTCTGGTTTTCTTTCAGACGTCTCTTAATGAGGCTGCAAGGGAGTCACACTTCACTTCCCTACCAGTACTTTTGGAGGATTTTGTCAAAGATCATGGAGGCAATTATAATCGTAAGCCATTTTTCTCCTGTACTGGAACTTTTAAGGATATAGAGTATTTATGGAGTATCAATTCAAGTTGTAGGGAGTAACTAGTGTGCATCCCATAATGTCTGGTCGAAGATGAAGGGAGTGGCCATTAGATTTATGACCTAGATTGGGAAAGGAGATGCGGGGTAGTATTTTATCCTGTAACCACCCTAGAGAGATTACAGCAGTCACTTTATGCTGGTTGTCTGTTTTAGAAATCCTGTATTATCATTGGTTAATGACGCATTGCGAGAACTGCTTTTCCCTATTCATCATGTTCATTAATATTTTTCCACAAACAAATTTCTTTCAATCGAGACTTGTCATTTACAAGAAAAAGGATTCTACAAAATATAATTTTCATCAATCTAAATGAAATATTATTCACACGTGTGGTTTACAATTATGGACTACTCAAAACATAAAGACTGTTTAAGATTTGTAACCATTAAATTTTATAATTTGAATAAATCATCTGCTTATTGCATTTATTCAACAATGTCTACATTCCTATTCCTGGTAAAAGTGAACGAATGATCTTGTGAAGCTTGACATAAATTTGTTGAAAGAATAGTGAACATAACATATAGCCATTGAATAGTTTTATCTGATGGAACACTGTCAACATGCGTTTGTATAAACAATATATATTTATCGTCAAAATTCATTATATTGCTTCAATTGTTAAAGAATTGATGCTGTTCAAACAAACTATATCGCATTTTAATACGGAAGCCTTGTGTTGAGTTTAGACTGTTTGTGATCTGGTAAAATTCCACGAATTCAATGTTGTAAAATGTGACTTTGCCAGTTTTGTTTTGTTTTTGTAGCTTCTTGTTTTAAAACTTGATCATGGGTCATAAGAACAATAGACTACTTGTGACGAGAAATGACGGATTATCTGTCCCTCGTGTTAATGTTGAAAGTCCCTCACCAAGGGACAGATGGTCCGTTTTTCATCTCTCGTAAATTGTTGTCTATGTGTTCCTTACCTGAGTACTTGTGCAAGGTAAAAACATGTTCTACAGGAACTGTCTCATTAAGTCGGGGCTCAAGAGGAGTTAAATGGCCTTGCACCTGAATTGAGCATTTCCAGGTGTAGATTTGAAAATTAATGTTTTTTTAATATTAGTTTGTTTTGTTTGTTTGTGAGTCTGGAAAAGACAATATGTTTATTTGCCTCTTTATGACATAGTCAATATTTGGCATAGTCAAGAATGTCTATCAGTGTGGTTCATGTTGAAGCTTGTATTTAAGTATAGACCAAACTGTGAACTTCCTATACAAATACTACACACAAATGTGTAGGCCTATAGGAAAGTGCTTTTGAGCTTTTGAAGGTCAAAGTTGTTGAATAATGATTTTGTGACATATTGGTTGAAAGGGATCGTAGGCTTCATTCGTTTTTACCTGTAGCACGGAAACAGCATTCTAACTTCTTCGTTTGTGTTATTGTTTCAGGTAGCAAGGCTGATGCAATTCATGTAGTGATAGATCGGCATGTAATAACGGGCCAGAACATACAATCAACACTCACAGCAGTGCAGAACCTCATTCTCATGTGCTCCCAGAAGTAGTGTCTACACAAGGGTGTCTTCAAGTGGGCGACCAGGGGGGATGGCAGTATACAAACAAGAGTGTATGCAGCAAGTCTTATGGTGTTTTGTTTGGAAATACAGATAGATTGCATATAATGTGTGTGTCTTTTGTTCATGATCCTACATATTCATCATCTCACGTCATTCCACTGCCCACTGCTGATGGAGGTCACGGTGATCGTGAGGAGATATTATTCACGTCCATATTTCGAGTTGTCGCCTGAAAGAAAAAACGGGACAAGAAAGGGTGTCAGTATGTTGTCACGATAGTACTGTCCAGTGAACTTTCTTGCCCAATATGGTTTGGGGTTCGCTCAGGCATAGTGATGCCACCCCACACATCTGCTGTGAGGTCTCTGGTTGGCTTGATGTTCATTTTGACGTCACTGTACACGAACACGCCTAAGAAGGAAGTGCAAAGGGAATGGGGACTCATATGAAAACATGACACATGACCAGGGATGATTACCACAGTTTCCATGATATGTACACACCATTGATGTCTGTTGGCAATAAGAAGGTTTGTAAGGGGCGGCACAATACATGACCGTCGAGCATGGGGATGAGCAGCATTAGGCGATTTCTAATCACCTGACCAGTAACTCGAACTACAGTAGCTTGATGAAAGTTTGAAGAACTTGATTCGCCGTTTGAGCCCGATTTCATAGAACCCTGGTTTCAGATCAATGAAGCCTGTACTATTGTTGGGGTCGATCATCAGTATTTTGGGTTCGTTGGTACCTTTGTTTGATGTGTTACCAGGGCATGTGGATGACCTTGTGACCATAGCAGGCCGTCCCACACTGGCAGAAATATTGGACAGTCTGCTGACATTTCTAATAGTACAGGGTACCATACCTGGCCCTAACACACAGGAACTATTAAATTTAACATTTCAACCTCCCTTCTTACTTTCCAGAGGCATCTGCCTATCATGCAAAATGGAGGAAAGACATCAACCTTCACCCATTTCCATTCCATCGGGAATATATGCAAGTGGCGAGCCGATCTTGTCTCAAAATCACATATCGTTTCAGCTGTTGACTGATGCAAGATACTATCTTGACTACCTTGTGTGGACTCAGTGTCTGATTGCAGTGCTTGAGTATCCATAAGTTCCATGGTATCCTAACTAGTCCTCTAGTCCCTTTCATGCGTTATTTTGCATTATCAAGCTTGCATAGCTGTTCATATGGGTTTTCCAATGAGGACACACAGATTGACGACCCACCTGATCGTTGACTTCTCATAGAATCTGATCTTGTGTTGGTAACTCTATTGGAGGCATCCTTCATGCCCAGCTTGCATATGTGAGAGAGAGAGGCTTTCCATCTTGAAATTTTCGTAAGAAACACATTTACTTTCTTCAGATTTATTATAACATATGTCACGAGAACTGCAATAGGGAAGCCATCAGATTAATACCCTGAAATATCTTCTCTATCGCCAATTTCAGCAAAATGTTTTTAATCTTCCTTTTTAAGACAGCTAGATTCTCCTGAATAAGACTTACTTGTGGAGGGGGGTTGATCTGAGTTGGGTCTTGCATTAATTCTGTCTGAAAACCCTTTATATTCTGAAGAATACAATGTTCCTGTGTATTCTTTACCAATTTCTATACCTTCAAACTTTCTATTGCTATTTCCAGTAACATATGGTTTGGCTGTCCAAGATGAACGATATTCAGAATCATGTTTTCTTGAAATTCTATGTCAGAATTGGCAACACCTGAGTCTCTATCTAGTCTAATCTAGACCTACCAGGTCTGACTCCCCTAGTCTCTTTTTATTTAGAAGTTGTATGACGCCTCTTGCCAAGAATTTCCCTGGCTTTCCTTTTGTGTTTCACCTCAGTGAGGAGTGTGTCCAAAATGTTTCACCTGAGTATCAGCAAAGCTCTCATCATGCTCTTATAGCATCTTGTTTTGTTTTTTAAGGGTCTTTAGGGCCTGTGAAAATTTATGGACACATTGGCCTATCCAACAAGGCAAACTGACCTTTCCACCATTCCTTTGTGTCTTGCAATTCATATATACCAGGAATATATTGAAGGGAACACCCAAATTTATTCAGAAATGATGTGAAAAGAAATGACATTGTGGAGATCATTCTTCATATTGAAGTCAATATCTGGTCTATGCCCCGTGAGCATTGGTGCAGGCACAACATCTTCTGGACATATCATACTGGATATCAAATGCCGGATTGTCTCCCCTGTATCCTTCACCATTCTTCTTGTAAGGTCTGCCCAAGCTGTTGCCGATTCCGGGAATGCTGAGCTTGCTTGCGAGCCCTTTGGCCCAGAACAAAGGTGTTTAATCTATGACCAGGCTGGATATTTGGCTGGCCAGTGCAATGTTGTGACACCTTGCTGCGTCAGACAATTGACCGCAACACGAGCTCTTTAAGGACGTATGTTGTCATCCTGGAGCTCAAAGTTCTGACTTACGTGCTGGGCAAATGGACTGACCACTGGACGTAACATTTGGTCCTCATAACATTGACCAGTCATGTTCCCTTGCATGGTCATCAGATCCTTCCAGTTGTTGTATGTGATGCCAAGCAAGACCATGATCTGTCTTTCCACTCCATCTCTAAACACGTTGTCTGTCATTGGTAAAGCATAAACAGAACCTCGATTCATCAGAAAACTTGATTTCAACCCCGCAGTTTTCAAAGTGTTTTGTATTATTGATGTCGAAAGTCGGATTCCTGTTGACGCCCTGAAGCTGTCCCTCAGTTGGGTGCAGAAATGAATCTGTTCCTCAACGCAGTGGAGCAATGGAGTACTCTTTCTTGACCTTCATCTACCCACCCTTATCTTAACCCCACCCGTTTGCCCCTATCGTTCCATCAGTCGGGATATCATACTGTTAGATTTACCAAAGTGTCTGGCAACTGCATTCAGTGATTGTCCAGTTACAGTCATGCCAATTGTGTGCCATTATTCATTTTTTGTCATGTACACTTTTGGACGCATTTTCCTTCTTTGTAGCCGATCAACGAACAGTATGGTTGTGACGTCTATTAGCACACGCCAGTTACCAGGATGTGTCTCTCTGGATGGCATGCTATACATGTACAATGTGCAATGTGCAAAGCCTAAGCGAGTTAGCTATCAGCTATATTCTACTCATGCAACGAATATAGCTGTAATAACAGGGGTTCCCTTAAATATTATTCCTAGTATATGTCCGGATCTGGCGGAGCCTTTCTGCGTCCGTGTTTCTGTCTCACCATAGACAAGGGACACATGACATTCAAACATGCGCTAAATGAATTGCTTTGAGAATTCATGTTTCTACTTGAATGAATTTTCTTTGGCCTCAAAAAGGTCATGTAAGTACCCTTTTCATTCGGTAGTGTCCAAACAATGCTCATTAGGCAAACCATTGTCATATACCATGTTTCCATTTAACACTTTTTCTGTAGTAAGAACTGAATGTGCAAGTTTTTAGCTAAATTATGTGGTTAAGCCCATGCATCTGGTATCTGATCTGTATCTTGTTTGCAGATTGAAAACAGGATGTAATCTTGTTTGATCTATCTCGTTTTGAACTACATCAAAAACAGTTTCTCGTAAATGTTTTACTCAGAAAAATATTCACTTATTTGTTAAGGTTAAACCCAGATATCATAATTTTGTTTCAAGCAAGAACCCTTAGCTATAAAAACTCTTGATTAGCTAATAAATATATTTTTACCAACATGGACACTGACATGATGAACAAGGGTTTATGGGTAATTTAATCTCCTTCTTGTTTACAGTCAAGACCATAACCTTTCAACTTGACCTATTTTTAACATGAGTAGATGAATACATCACTATCACATCTACAAGTGTATTTGTGCTGTGAAATTATTATAATTGTCATCTCATACCTCTTACAGTTAGTATCTCTTTAGAAATTGCTTCAGTATGAAATATCAATCTCAAGTTTGAATTACATTTTGTCAGAGTAAACGGTATCCCTTGTTTTGTATTATAGCCCAGTCGTTTCTGTAGTTAGGATTTTTGTTCAAATTGGTTTCTAAAATATTATGCTCAGTAGGAGATGTACCCAGAGAAGTGTCATCTGCAAACAATCTTGCTGCACAGTCAAAATAATCTGCAAACAATTACTCCTTATCAAGAACATAATTAGACATATATACTGAAAAACCAAATCTGAAACAATTTCGGTTTGCAACAGATAAAAGACTCCTGTAAGTGTTCAAATGGTTTAATTTGCCATACTGACTTCAGAAAATGCGTGATTTCATTAAAAAAAACATGAACATGCCAAAATGTCAATTTACAAATCAATAGCGTGTGTCCACCTCTGGTTGCGATGCAAGCAACACATCTTCGTCTCATGGAATGGACCAGGCGTCACGCAAAGTCCTGTGGGATATCTGTCCATATCTGCTGGAGCATGTTTCGAAGTTCCTGGAGTGTCTGTGGAACACATGGTTGATGTCGAAGGCGCCGATCCATCTCATCCCACATGTGCTCGATTGGTGAGAGATCAGGGGAGCGAGCCGGCCAGGAGATGACATTCACGTTGTTTTGTTGAAGAGAATCCTGAACAAGTCGAGCAATATGAGGCCGGGCGTTGAAAGGTAATGCCTGGGCCATGACGACGCAAAAACGGTAGAACAACAGGGCCGATGATCTCGTTGCGGTAGCGCTGTCCATTGAGATTTCCCTCCACCACTATCAAAAAGGTCCTCTGACTTGCTGTAATCCCACCCCATACCATAACGCTGCCAACCCCAAACCGATCTTCCACGACACAATGATTGACGTAACGTTCACCTCGACGTCGGAACACTCGAATCCGTCCATCGCTGTGGCTGAGATGAAAACGAGACTCGTCAGTGAGTAGAACTTGTCCCCACTGCATGGCTGTCCAGCATAGACGCTGTCTGCACAACTGTAGACGTGCTTGACGATGGTTTCCTGTCAAAATGGGACATCTGGTGGGTCTTCTGGTGACAATCCCTGCACATCTGAGGCGATGATGTACGGTTTGTGAAGATATTCGTCGAAGGCCAGGGATGCTTCTTGCAGTCACTGTTGCTGGCTGAAATTGATTTCGTAGGTGTGTTG